TGCATAAATAATGCACGTTGTGCTAAATGTTTAAGCCTTAAAGGGGATTATGTTGTATAAATATAATTTTGTTTCAAACATATTGCGTCGCTTTATATGGTAGACTAAATATTTACAATATCACGTCATACTCTTTTCCATACAAAACGATTCACAATAATCTTATCAAATACCACTCATCCTTTTAAATTGTATTTAATTAAATTTTAATTTTCCTGATTCAAACACCTTTATTGGAGACAAAACCACTTAAAGAAATCAGTTTGTTCTTGGGGTTTTTACAAATAAAGGCAATTTTCGTAGATATAAGTACTTAAAATATATCTAATTGATAACATTCTAAGGTTTCTTGGTATTACCTTCGATAACTTTTTCTACTATAATAATTACTTGTTAAATTAATATTTTTTTCGAATCGACATTGACTCTTATCTCCACAATCTCATTTGCTAAATTTATGTAAATAAAAATAGTGGCATACACGTAGATACTAAATTTTGATTCCTTATTCCTTCGCCTTTACCTTTCTAAAGGTTTCATTCATTACCATAAATTATTCTAACCCATATACAACGAACATACGTTTTTCTTTGCATTGTACGTTAAACACGCAAACAATGCATAATTTAACGTAAAAATCATTTCTTCGTGCTTTGTTTTAGCAAAATTGTTGATGCCAAGATGCGATATAATGTACCTATAAAGCGCCTTTGATAAATTATTGAAAATTAAAAACAAGTTAAACCTCTGTGCATGTGTGGACGTTTAAAAACATTATTTTAAGGAAGGACTATAAATTGATTTATTAATTATTTCTGAAGTGGAAATTTTCACATGTATTTTTAATCTTAAAAGTACAATTTGGGAACGCGAGACCGAGGCAGACGACAGCAGCAAGGCAGCAAATATTGTCGTGTTAAAAGTGGTGTCGTACTCTTCCAAATGTGTCATTTAATTATTACATTCTTACTGTATGTATTTCATATTCCTTCCCCCTTCTCCCTCGGGGACTTTGGGCAGGTACACGTTAGTCTATATAGTATTGATTTTTAGATCTATTATCATTCGTATTATTATCTTCTATATCGACATTTCCATTCTCCAGACTAAACGGTAAGTATGTATTTAACAGATCGTTATTTCTTGTTATAGATGGCAATTTCGTGGAAAGTAAGACTCTAATGAATAAATAATAGAATCAATAACAATGCGGCAATGAATAAGGGATTTTATTAGTAATTGATTAAATATCATTAGCACAACTAGATATCTCATTTATATAATTATCTGTGGAGAACAGTAAGTATTTTCAACAATACGCGATCAGGGGCCTATTTCATAAAACTACTTTGCAACTTTTCACTTTGCATTTTGCATATTTTACTAAATGTATGCTTTATATACGAGAAATTTGATGAATTAGAAAGTAAAATTTGATAAGCAATTAGAATATTGAAAATTAAAAATTGATAATCTGCAACGTTAAGGATGTTATTTAATAAAAGACAAATATTTTGTAGTCGTAAATTTGAAAAATGCAAACTGAAAAGTTGCGAAGTAGTTTTATGAAATAGGCCCCTGGTAAAACAATAAATTTAATAAAAATGGCTGTTTCTGGGGCAGTTGTGGCTAAGGGCGTAGATAAGGGGGGAGGGGGTAATTACCCCCCCCCAAGCCATAGTCAACATAATTTTTTTTTAAAACGTTATATTAAACAAAAATAGAGAGATAAAATAAATACAATAAAACAAAGAGTTTCTCAAACATTGTCATCTAATATAATAATATTCTTGCAAATTGAAAATTAAAATTTATATACAGGGTCCCATTATTTCGTAATTGTTCAATATTTCAATTTGTGTTATTGACAAGCAAACAAGTTTTAATAAAAGTTATATGATGTTGCGTTTTTGCCTGACAAATAAAAATGTATGTTTTTTAAATAAAACACCCTATATTTTATTTTATTTTTAGAATGACTTGGGAATACTGTATTTAAAATGTTTTTAAAAAATATTACAATGTTGCCAAACAAATTATTTTTTTTTAATTAGAGAATGCCGCAGACCCCAAATTAAATTATCATAATTTAGGTAGGTTTACATTAATTTCAAAATTGTTTAATATACAGACATAAAATACTAAGCTAACGAATAGAGGTGATACAACTGATTTATTCTATACAAGGTGTTTTGAAACATGTCTTAAATATGGCTAATTTTAAGTTCAATTTACTCAATTTTTACAAGCGCAACACACTGCATAAAATTCCCTATAAATTTGCCCATGTAACAATACCAATGTGTTAGCCAATAACACATATACAGGGTGTCCTATCAGTGCATAATTGATCGATAGCTGTTTTATTATTAGAAATACGAAGAAATGTTTAATATAAAAGTTGTATGACCATATTTAACAAATATTCTTAAATATACAGGGTGGTCTATAAACGAGGTGCTGACCAAATCTGTACTTTTTCAAAAGCAAAACACCCTGCAGGTAGGTAGTAATACATATTTGATTGTTTTTACATCGTCAAACAATTTTAATTGACTTCATTCATTTGCTATGTTGTATATAGGGTGTGTCAAAACGTGAGGTTACGATTTTCTCAATTTTTTAAATGGAATACCCTGTATTAATTAATTGGTGGTATGACATATAGGGTATTCCATTTAAAAAAATAAGAAAATCCCTACCCCTTATTTTAAAACACCCTATATACAACATAGCAAATAAATGAAGTCTATTAAAGTTGTATGACGATGTGAAAGCAAATATAAAAATGTATAAGTTTGGTCAGCCCCTTGTTTATGGACCATCCTGTATATTTAAAAATATTTAATAAACATGGTCATACAACTTTTATGTTAATTTGTCTTTCCTATTTCCAATAATAAAAGAGCTATCAATCAATTGCGCACTATTGGGACATGTTGGTATCGTTGGATAGGTACATTTATAAGGAATTTTATGCGAAAATAATATACAGTGTGTTGCATTGGACAAAATTGAGTAAATTGAACTTAAAATTAGCCATATTTAAGACATGTTGTAAAACACTCTGTATAAAATAAATCAGTTCTATCACCTCGAAAATGGAATAGTCTACAAAGATCAAAAAGAAGTCCGTTTTTTGTGACAAATGGCGTGATAAATATTTATTAAGCTTAAGTTTTATGAAATGTAGGGTGTTCAAAAAGTGTTGAATAAAATTGTTTATTTAGCCCTTCGTTCTACACCAATGGGTTATGGTAATTTATTGAAATAGCGTGTTAACTAATAATAACGATTACCTATCATATACATATTTTTAAGTTAAAGTCTTTACTGCAATGGAAAATATTTAGAAAATATGTATTTATGAGATTCACTTTATCACCCTGTAGAATGAAAACTGAGACGTTCATGGGAAAATTATATTTAGCTTTTATTTATAATTAATTAAGATCTACAAATTCCCAAAATTACGGTACCTTATTCTGAAACACCCTGTATAAATATATAAAAAATTAAAAACTTCATTATAAACTCACTTTTTTTTCTGGAAATACACATATGAACCCTAGACGTTGCATTGGTACCATATTCTAAGATAACACGCTGCGCATTCACCAATAATGTGTAGGTTGTAGCAAATAGATTGGTCACATTGTATTAGGGTTATTACTGAAGTTAATAATGTTACTTTTAGCCGATTTATGATATCAATTTAGTGGGGTACGGTTATTTTTGAAGACTGTATGTTAGGCCTTGGTCAGTTCTGTGACGACCAGACGGAAAGGGTCACTGAAAAAACCTGCCAATACCAGGGCCACCGAGAGCCAGACCGGGCCCCAGGACAATTCTCCAGATGATCGGGCCTCGCGACAATTTTATAAAAAATTTAAAAAAAGGTCTAAAATGGTCTAAAAAGGTCTAAAAAAGGTCTAAAAAGGTCTAAAAAGGTCTTAGAAGATCTTAAAAGGTCTTAAAAGGTCTTAAAAGGTCTTAAAATGTCTTAAAAGGGTCTTTAAGCAAACATTTCTCTTCCTCTACTTGAATTTCTCTAAAAAAAAGTCTCTCCCTCTTGTGTCGAACTTGTGAAAGTAACAAAAAAACCCTCACCACCGCTGCCGGGCCCCCATTTGAGCCCGGGCCCCGGGGGGAATTGGTCCCGGCGGTCCCCCCCTCTAGTCAGCACTTGCCAATGCCGATGATATCTAATAGAAATTATTAACAATAGATTAGGAGAGTTGCCAAATTATATCAGAGCTGAGAATACTGGCAGACCAAAATAGAGTCAAATTATTTTGGGTGCCGGATCATCAAGGGATCGAGGACAATGAAAATAATGACGATCTTGAAAAAAGGTGGTTAGAAGAAACACCAGAACTAGACATGAACTTAAAGTACCAAAAAATACAGTACAAGGTTTCATAAAAGACTGAGTTCGAAAAAAAAACAATAATGTGGAAAAACCTTAATAGAAAGACCATATTCAAAAGTACTCTCTGTGAATAGAAACCAGATAAAAACAAAACCAGTTCTCGTGAGTAAGCACTAAGCATGCTCCAGTAAAGGGACATCAGAACAAAACAGGCGTGTACAATGGATACCTATTATTTCGACTGTCACAGGGAACAAGGAACCGTCAAGCACAATGTGTTACTGCGAAACATTGTATCACAAAAGACAGGCACTGTTTGAACAAACTCAGATTGAACCAAGAGCCTATAGAACACACTCGGTCAAAGATCTGTACAAGAGACAAAAATAACAGAGTCGGTATTGTGAACTAATATGGGATAAAACACAATAAACCATTAGGCTTCAGTCTTATCTTAAACTGTCGAAAGAACACAAAAAAAAAATAATCCGACAAATTCTAACAAAGCCGCACTATCACATATTTTTTATTTTCTAATATATTGCATTTACAAAGAAATCTGCAAAAATGTTCCCGTATTACCTCGGATGAACGTAGCTTTTAAAATTGTATTTATTTTGTTTTTCAGATTTTGCAAGGTTTAGCCTTCATCCATCGACATGGATTTTTCCACAGAGACCTTAAGCCTGAAAACATATTATGCTCGGGTACGGAAATCGTCAAGATAGCAGATTTTGGTTTGGTTCGTGAAATCAGATCCAGGCCTCCATACACTGACTACGTTTCAACAAGATGGTACAGGGCGCCAGAAGTTCTTTTACATTCAACTACGTACAGCAGTCCAATAGATTTGTGGGCTTTGGGTTGCATAGCTGCGGAGATATACACGTATAGGCCATTGTTCCCTGGTACGACTGAAACCGATCAACTGTATAAAATTTGTGCGTTAAGAGGAACACCAGACGAGGTACATACTTTATTACTTTTTATTAATTTAAGTAAAGCAGATGATAGTTTTATTATAGCAAATTTTAAAATATAATTTCACTATTAAACAAAAAGTGATTTTATAATTTATGCTTGTTCTTTGCATTTTGTCAAATAGGTTTACATTATGTTTGTCCCTCTAACTACCTGTAGGCATTAACAGGACCCATGGTTGCCTATGTAGCGGTTGTTTGGTGGCCAAAAGTAAAACAGGAAACATACTTCAATACTCTCTCAGAAATACAGAGGCTGGTATAGCTTTGTATTACAGAAGGAATAAGAAGTTAACCAACAGCCCCTATGGAAATTATTTTAAACTTCCCAACCATTGACATATTTAACTGGAACGAGAAAATCAGGAGGTAGTATTCTTGCTTAGCGGTCTTGTGTGGTATAAAAAAAGAAAGAGAACAGGCGACATCATCATCTCATTGGGAAAACTTACCACTGTATTTTAGTCTGAAATACGTGCAATTGAATTATGTATAAGAAAGAACTTAATAAGGGAGTATAACAAATAGACCAACTTAATTCTCTCAGATAGCTAAGGGCCCTTGGTTTAAACAAAATCAAGTAAAGCTGGTCTGGAACTGCATTAGAATACTTAATGTTCTAGCCACCCACGATACGGTAAAACTAGTGTGTGTGTGTGTGCCAGGTCATAAAAGTACCCATGAACATGAAGTGGCTGATGAACTTATCAGAGATGGATCAGAAATAACATTCACAGGACCCGATCCTGTGTTTGGAGTAAGCAAAACTTCTATTCGACAGAGTGCGAACAGTTGGATAACGACTAAATACCAAACGCATTGGCAACAGATAAGAGGACAGAGCTTATGCTCAGGAGACCAAACCAACGCATGGCTGCTGAGGTACTACAGCTCGCCTGGTCCCAGATATCCACCCTTGTGTGATTACCAAGGGACATTGCTTGTTGAAACACCTTCATGCGATGAGATGAAATTACTCAATGATCCCATCATGTGTAGACTTTGCATGGAAGAGGAAGAAACCGTATACCACGTTATTTTCGAATGCAACGCTTTAGCTAGGTGGTAAAAAATCATTTTCGGGCTAAAATCAAAAAGAATGCCCCAGGAATACTTGGTAGGGAATCTAGTAAAACTAACCAAAGATGCAGGACTACTCAAATATAATTTGTGAATATGGAGAAAGTAGACGAATGCAATATTACAATACACCTAAGAGGCCGCAAAGTGTTCTGGACTATATCTAACCCAACCTGCTTATAACCGACAAAGATAAATCTATTATTATTCTCTTTTTAATTTCCTTTGGAGACGCAATTTTCAAAAATTCTTTCTAAGCTTCTGAATTAAAAAAAGCGTTTTGAGTCGTATGTTAATGAGTCAGTCAGTCGGGATGTTTTCTTTAGTAGATTTATTTTAATAGAATATTCTGAATATTTTTATAGAACAAATGGCCTGACAGTTATCAATTAGCTGGTGCTCTAGGATTTAAATTTCCATATTTTGCCAAAACTCCCATCAGTGACGTAGTACCGCAGGCGGGAAACAATGGGATTAATTTAGTAGACGAACTTCTAGAATGGAATCCGGCACACCGACCCACGGCACAAGGAGCCCTCAAACATCAATATTTTCAGGTAAAATTATCGTTTATAATATATATGTCTAGAGGAGATGCACCAAATATCGGACCTCCAATAACTGGTGTTTCCTATTAGTGTTTAAAATGATTATTTAGTTTCAGAGAGCCTGTTAATTTTTTTTTTAATTTTGACATATAAATCGTAGCAAGTATCAAAATGAACTACTTTACGCAACCTGATGCATTAAGTTGAACATTATGAAACTGGTTTCGAAAAATTCATTATATCACCAGTTGTGAAAAGAAAATAACTAAAAATTAATCTTTTTTTGGTTTTAAAATCAATAATATACATTATTATTGAAAGTTTATATCAAAGAAGGACAGGTTGACTTAAAAATAGAATTTGGTTAAACTTACAAACTAGTAGTTATGTTGTTTTGGTTCTTATTTTCCATTCTAAATCAGAACAAAATAATTAAAACACAATACACGATAAAACGCACTTTTTTGAAAACTAAATAACTTTAATAAGCCATATAAATCACTATAATTCGTTAAGAATAAATAATATTATGTTCTGACAATAAAATGATGCATATGCAACTACCAATACAAGAAAGTAGTAATATTGGTTGCCTAGATGTCTTACCAAAACACAATTTTATAAATTATTAGTCAAAATTAGAAAAAATATTGCATATAACTCGTTACGAAATACCGTTTTATGTAACTCGTTCATGTTGCAGGACCGTTATCTGCCCGTCTCGCAAATTTTTACTCGTTACATAAAATAAGGTATTTTGCAACTGGTTTCATAAATAACTATTAAAAAAAATCCGATTAAGTTTGAATTCTATACCAACCAGTAAGCACATGCAGAATACCATCTTTTCTTCTTCATTAAAAATACTTTTCATTTATTGTACTAAAAGATTTGGAGCTTTTCCTTCCCTCTAGTTTCTGAGTTATTCAATTTCAGATTTCCTGTAAACCTCTGATTTCCTGAGTCGATAATAGGTATCATTGTATTTAGATATCCTAGTAGATCAACCTTATGGACGTTTCATTGGAGCATTGTATTTAGAGAAGATAGTAGAACAACCTTATGGACGTTTCATTGGAGGCAATTCTGTCGCGACATCTGTTAGAAATTCATCAAAATAGCCCGAACGCTAGCACTTCCTCGATCATTGAGTACAGAATTCTATATACATAAAATTTTCTTAATTTTTAAATTCATATGGGTAGAGTTCTAAATTTAAATTACTATTGTTTATATTCTCTAAAATGATAATAAATCGTAAATAAATGTTCAACAAGCATAATTAAACTCGTATATTCCATTTTTAAAACAAATATTCTGAATCGATTATGGGCCCATCTATTAGTAAATAGAGAAATTACGTTCGTTTCGAAGACGACAAAATTATCAAAGACATGACTTGGACACCACGGAGCTTGCTGCCATCTATTGATACTGTCCCTTGTCCTCCAAGATAATTTGCATTGGTATTGTTTTACTAGTTGATCTAAATACAATGATTGGAGGCAATTCTGTCGCGACATCTGTTAGAACTGTACAAAACTTCACTAAAATGGCTCTTGTACTAGGCGCTCTCTCGATCAATGAGTATAGAATTCTATGTACATAAAATTTTCTTAATTTTTAAAATCATTTGGGTAAACTGCCAAATTTAAATTAATATTGTTTATATTCTCTAAAATGATGAAAATCGTAAATAAATGTTCGTCAAGCATAATTAAACTCGTATATCTCATTTTTAAAACAAATATTCTGAATCAATTATCCTTCCATCTATTAGTAAATAGAGAAATTACGATCGTTATTCAGTTTCGACAACCGTTCTATGGCTCGGTAGAAGACGACAAAATTATCAAAGACATGACTTGGACACCACGGAGCTTGCTGCCATCTATAGATATTGTCCATTGTCCTCCAAGATAATTTGCATTGGTATTGTTCTACTAGTTGATCTAAATACAATGTAGGTATATTATTTGTAGAAGATGGCGGAAGATCTCTATTTTGCGCACCCACCAAAATTAAACTTTCGCGGAATTTCCAGCCATATAAAATAATATAGTACACGGAGGGTCCAAGGCGCCGAAAAAAAAAACAGATATCTTGAGTACATTGAAGATTACAAAAAAAAAACGCAAAAACAGGTCTATTTTATTCCAACCCATACAATTTAGGTAGGGAAATTACCAGGTACGTCATTGAAACAGCAGTTTTATAGGGAATTTAGCAATATCACTGTTCTATGCGTTACTTTTAATTTTAATATTTTAATCCACTATTATAGTGATTTTCCCATTAAATTAATTTTCAATGATGGGTTACACTTGGTACTTTCCCTATTTAAATTGAATATGTTAGAGTGGCGGAGTGGATGGGAATGACGTATGACAGTTGAGGATATGACAGTGTCTTCTGTGGAACATAAATCGACCTGTCCTAGCCATTTTTACAAAATAATTGGTCTGTTTTTCGATATCTCACCCTATAGATTTTATATCAAAGGGAGTTCTATAAATGGCAATATATTTGGATGATCTTCGATGTGACTGTGACTAAGAATGGAATGATTAAGAATTTAATAACCATAATCATACACCATCATCATCATCATCATCAATATCATCATCATCATCATCACTATCATCATCTTTATTATTATTATTATTATTATTATTATTATTATTATTATTAGAAATTGATTAGTAGCATACGAAAGAACATGACTTAAAATTAATATAGCTTTAAAAAATATCATCTAAAAGAGTTTGAATCAATGTATGATGCAAATTACTACGATCAATAGGTAATAACAAACCAACTGAAACAGAAAATAAACTAAAATTATTCTCGTATAATCTAAACATTGTTTTTTATTTAGGTTGGACAATTTAGCGCCCTCCAGACAAACCGCCAAATACAAGCTAACAGTGCCTTACAGACTCACTCGAATGGTATCATTCAAAAGCTACCCTCTATCGACCAAGAAGACTCCCAGATGTTCCCCAATCCCCAACCGCAGCTTCAGATTCAAGCAAACGGCCGTTCCTTAATAAAACAAATGAATGGTAATCCGAATCTCCCCTCCATCCAACCATCTGTACAAATTAACATCCAATCTTTGATCAAGCCAATGGAAGATAAGCCTAGATTACAAGCGCCACCTATAGTCTATAGTTTCGGTCAATCAGATTACGGAAGTAAATATTTACCATCCGTTTTTGGGAATATGAATAATGTTGGAGGGAGAGGTGTAGTTATGCCTAATAAGAAGATCAGTTGGGGGATGGAGACGAATTTTGAGTATGAGGATGATTTTGCTGATATATTAGGGTAAGTGTCATATTGATATAGATAGAAGAGTATTTTATTAGAAAAAGTACATCTGCGTCTTAGCAGGGTGCAATAAAGTATCGTTATGGTGTTTAAATTCTGATAGATATTATTTAAACAATATAAATAATATGAAGTGGCAACCGATTATAAAAATCTTCCTAATTTATTTATTTATTTGTTACACCACCCAACAGTAATCACCATTTACTGGGTGGGAAAGACAAAACATTAAAATATAAATACAAAATTAATAAAAAGCTATACAATGTAAACATCTCACATTGCATTACATGCTTTACATCATTTTTTTTACATTGTTTAAAGAAAAAAACATTTTTAATCATATATTTTTTTAATGCAAAAATGTCCAAGCTATCTTAAATTTCATGATATTTTTGAATAGATTGGTACATTGGAGATGAATTCAAAACATTAGTTCTAGAAGCTGGCATGTAGAAACTCAAGTAAACTCTTAAACCAGCACGGGGGATTTTTAGATTAACGGTAATTTAACAAATCAATACTGTCGACTGAGCCATTTAAAAGTTTATAAAGTACCTGTTGGAAATTTCTGCGTATCATGAGCTGTAAAAGATTGAATCTAGATGTTAATAAAGCGTGAGTATATCCTCTTGTAGGGTATATACCATGTAAAATGTAGGAAGCCGATTTCATGAATTTTCTTTGAACTTTTTCGAGTAAGTCAGTATAAATGTTATGTACGGTATTCCAAACAGCAGAACAGTATTCAAATTTTGACCGTACAGAGCTAATATATATAATTTTTAAGGTGAATATGTCTCGGAATTCTTTACAGCTTGGAATAACAAACCCTAAGCTCTTGTTAGCAGCAGATAACATCGTTTCAATGTGTTTAACGAAAGTTAGTTCAGGGTCAAAATAAACTCCGAGATCTCTTATACATTCGGGTCCATTTAGACCAATGTTCTGTAGTTTATAATCAAAAATTATAGGTGTTACTTTTTTAGTAAAGGACATTACGGAACATTTCTCAGGATTTAGAGGGAGTGAATTATCGAGACACCACTTCGCAATGTCGGACAAACACTTTTGAAGTCGCAAGCAATGGTTAACAGAATTGATTTGAAGCAATAATTTTAGGTCGTCGGCATATATTAAAACTTTAATATGCTCGATATTAGCGACTATATCATTTATAAAAATTATAAATAAAATAGGACCTAAAATTGATCCCTGCGGAACTCCTGATGTTTGTTCGAAATTTTTTGACCTGTAACCACGACATTGAATATATTGATGCCTACCCAACAAATACGAACCAATCAATTGAATGATTTGATCGCATAAACCAATGGAACTTAACTTGTGGAGCAAGATGGAATGATCAATTTTGTCGAAGGCCTTGGAGAAATCTGTGTATATTACATCAACTTGACTTCTTCTATCCAAGGTTTCCGAAATGAATTGCGTCGAACATACAAGGTTTGTAACTGTAGATCTATTTTTCATGAATCCATGTTGGTCACAAGATATAAGACGGGAAACATGATTGGAAATACGATCGTGAGTAATTATTTCGAATACTTTAGCAAAATTGCAAAGAATGCTTATGGGCCGATAATTACAAACATCATTATTTCTACCTTTTTTATGTACCGGAGTAATTCTGAAAATTTTCCAGGCAGTAGGGAAAATACATGTTTTCAAAATTAAATCAAAAATATGTTTCAACGGAGTGGCCAAAATTAGTGCACAGTTTCTGACAAGAAACGAAGGAATAAGGTCAGAACCCATTGACATATTGGGCTTAAGCTTTTTTAGGGCTTAAATAACTTCATCTTGAGATACAGAATTAAAGTGAAGCAAAGGTAAATTAATGGTAGATTCGTGGATGAAATGATTTATTTGAGTTGGCTTGGAGAAATTGCTTGAAAAGTGATCTGCAAAAGCTTGAACAATTGCCTGTGGATCTTCTATACAGTCATTATTATATTCAACAGTAGTGAGTATGGAATAGGAAGATTTTTAGAATTTATGTATGACCAGAATTATTTTGGATCATTTTTAATATTATTTTCAATTGATCTTAAATATAAGGAGTGAGCTATAGAAATGCCTTGTTTAATTTGGTCTCGAAGGTACCTAAATTTAGTAAATGCATCTATGGAATAAGCGGATTTGTAGTTTTTTCGGGCTTTTTCTTTTTGACGAATCATGCGTATTATATGACCATTAAACCAAGGAGGATAGGTCCTAAGAGTATGTTTTTTAGCAGGTGTATGCTTATTAAAAATAATAAACAATTTATTGTTCAAAAGTTGAACACTTTCATCAACGCTGCTTGCAGAATCAAGCAAATTTCAATTGATATTGAGTAGTGCGTTGTATAATTTTGGAAAATCTGCTTTTTTGTAATTATACTGCACGTGGTCTGGTTTACACTGTAAGCTCTTAACTCTAATTTTAATGGGGACATCAATACACAAAGAGGGGTGATAATATCTTCATATAAGACTACTTCATCGGCTTTATATACGTGACATGCTGAATTGGAAAAAACTAAGTCAAGCCGACGATGATATGTATTTTCCATCAAATTGAATTAAGTTAAAAAAATTCGCAAATGATTGTACGACTTTTAATCTAGGCGAGCAGCTAGAATTGTTTATTTGAGAAATATACTCTCTGGTACATTGAAATCTCCTAGTACTAGAAGATGATATCATAAAGAATATTTAGTAATGATATCGCCTCGAACACAGCCTCATAGTCATCAGCAGAACAAGCTGGCGGTATGTATATGAGTAAAATAAAGGTACACTGATAGTGGGATTTAATTTTTACAAAAATAAAATCAATTTTGTTTACTGGAATACAGCTACAAACATCAGATGTATCAATCAGAACTGCATTTAATTCTTTTTTAAGGGCACAAAGAACTCCTCCCCCCCTTGAAGTTTGTGTTAACTCGTAATCTCGATCAACCCTATAAACATCAAACACTGTAAGATCAAATAGCTCAGCATTATTTATGGTACTGTTACACCAACTTTCTGCAAAGAAGTAGCCCGCATACTGTGTAGCAGCAGAAACATTGTTAAATAGACGAGTTGTTTTTGTTCTTAACCCTCTTACATTTTAGTAATACAGTTGAAGACTAATTTGTGAACAATTATCAAAGCCAGATACGGAAACCTTCAATGGTTGCTACTGTAACGGTACAATTTTATTTTTAAACATTGTCAGAGCTCGTTTGTAGTAATGGCAATCTTTATCCCATGCTACATGATTGACAGAGGTATTTATATTGTGATTTGCTACTAGATAAGTACAATTTATACATTTATTGGTATTAGATTTACAATCTTTGAGCTCGTGATTAAGAGAACATTTAGGACAGGCTGGTTCAGCTTTAGTACATTGACTTGCTAAATGATGTAAACCCCAACACTTATAACACCTACGTGGTTCAACAGCACAATAAATTGGACAATCAAAATCGAAACCAAAAGTGAGCTTACCGAGTTTCATAGCCTTATGGAAGGTGGCCGTGTCAACTTGTACGACAGCTTGGAAAAGTTTACTGTTTCTTTTATGCGTTCGTGACTTTAATGCGCGGATGTAGAGAAGAAATAGACTTCATTTCGTATTTGTCGCCCAAATTGGTGTTGATAATCTGCTGGAATCTGGATGAATCGTCTTTGTTATCACAACTTATAACGAAGGCACCTTGACGTGTAGTAGATACATTTGAAAAATTAATGTCTTAATTGGGTCAACACTTCGTAGGATTTCGGCTTTGGTAGCAGCTATGGGTTGAGTAGTATTTTTAGGTTGAATAATGAATTTTGACCTATTAGCAACATCGGAATAACTTGACAACTTCGGCTATCATCTTATTGATATTAGACTCAATATCATCAACTTTTGTTTTGAATTGATCATTCTTGGTTTTATCGACAATTTCAATTTTATTCTTGCAAATGTTACAAATGAAATAAAGATTACGGGACTTGTGTAGTAATTTGAATTCAGCATCACTTAATAAAACACAATCTGGATGGTACCAATTACCACATGGGCCCTCACATCAGACAAGATTCTCCTCCCTTTTCTTCAATTTACGTTTAGCACATGACTCGGGTATTTTACATTCTATATGTACAAGTAAATGTGTGTAGTTGGTTCGCACCCAACCGGTTGAAATCGAGAAAAAAGAGAAAAAAGCAGTAGGTAGATAAATTATTTTTAAGTCAATTCAAAACATAACACTGCTCAATGGAAAGTAAAAACAAATTTCTGTAATGTACCTTCACTTTCTGATGATTAAGAACACTTTATAAGCCGTTTGGTACTATCAAATCAAATTATTTGAACTTTTACGAAGACAGAATCACAATAAATATAACGGGTCAACTGCACGAATTTATGACAGCGGTTAATTTAAATGATTAAGGATAAACGGCAAATTAATTAGTTTGACATGATAAATACGGGATGATTCATAATGAATTGTACCCAGAGCAATGGTGTAGAATCCTGAAATCAAAATATAACCAATGGCCAAATATGACTTCAGTAAAATGTTGATAGTTAACAATGTTAAAATATTTTATTTTATAGTAAATTCCGAAATAATGAACTATTAAGGGGTATAAAGTTTATATTTCTCGGAAATTTTGGGGTAATACATATATTTTTGTGACAAAAAACAATTTTTTACAATTTTTCGTTTTGTCCAAGAAGTAAAATAAAGCTGCCTACTTCGGACAAGAAGAAAGAAACGAATAAAGTGAACCTGAGCCAATTCAATTTACAAGATCTTCTGGAACCTCTGGCTAAAGCTAGTGCGGGAACAATTAGAAACCAGTACCTCAACGTACCTAGGTATATAAATGGACAGAACACAGTAAGAAGAGATTCTAATATAAGTTTATTCTCCAATTTTTCAAATAACGGAAGGAACAGTGGAGTTCATAATAAACAAAACAGTAAGTTTTTCTTCAGAGTATAAACAAATGTAATTAACGAGTGATTCACAAAAAATATTTCTAAAGTAGGCCTTGGAAAGAGTCACGTATGTCGGAGCCGGCAATTCTTATTTTTAGGTGGCAATTTAAATTTAATTCAGAGCCGTGCGTAGTTATCACGGATTAATGACTCGTATATTTGACTTTATTGATAAGGGCATTTAGAAACATTTTTTTGTGAATCATTCTTTATTATGCCGGTCAGTTTCTTCTTAAAATGCACGTCTATCTCGTCATCGAATTTAAAATGACGTTTAAAAAAGGAATTGTATATTACTTTTCCAATTTTAGTCAAAATCTGACCAATACTAACGAAGTTAAATATTAATGCACTTTTTACTACGATCGCTATCCAAAGTAGGCTTCTGTGCTTCGAAATTTAACCGCAAAGTGACGTTTTCAGCGAACTGACATTAAGTGACAGCTTTATCGCTCGGTCATGAGACAAAATTGACAGCTTTGTTACTCGCCTCCCTTCTTATGGCGGAATCATGTAAATTTAATATAATTATGTTTCATGCAAATAAATATATTTTAAGTACATAAATATTAATTTCTATTATATTTTCACACTATAGTTATTAGTTCTCAACGAAATTAAATCATATTTATAAATAATATTTACTAGAAAGATTCAGTCACTAATCTATGGATTCAGTAGTCAGGCAATATATTATACACAATACGCAATTTTTAGACTCTTAAAGTAGGCTTTTTATTATTAAATTCATTTGATATTTTCAGTTTGTATATCTATTTTTTAAAATAATGTGATCGTAGAAAAAATCTTGTGTACATTTTGAGCTAAAAGTTCGTTGCCACTTTCGACAGTTTGCCTGCGCTCCGCTACGCGTCGTGCGTCCAACTTTCTGTCTTAAACAGCTAACTATCACTTTTCGCTCTTAATATACAAATCGTTTTCAAATACTTCAAACTAACTTATATCAAAAATTCCTGTATTTCCTTCAAAATTTTGATTGAAAGGTCTATTTAATTAGACTAGTAGTATCCTTTAGAATCTTCAACAGTTCTAAAACTCACAAATTTGTCGTGATTTATAATAACAATTAAACACTAATGAAAAATACTGATTAACAAATTTTGTTTTTTAGCCAAACATCGGCTATTAGGCATTCCAACGACCTGTCCAAATGGCTACCAGTGGGTACTGACAGTTTAGATATGGCAACCCTGTTGTCATGTTGTCATTAACAGGGTCAATGATACATATATGTTATATACATTGCTCAAAGCTGGTCGTTTGCGAGCAGCCATATTGCCTGGCAAATATTATTAATTTGAATCAGTTTAGCAAAAATGTGTTTTAAAACCAATTTTCAGACTTTAGATATTTAAAAAATAATAATTACTTATATTTTTACTTCAAGGCATAAGCTTATGTTTATTTTAAAAAATAGGGATGATCAATCTATGTAACTATCTATTTCACCCACCTTGTCAAATCACCAGGCCTACAGAGTTGCCATAACTTTGCCACATCATAACCTGTCAAAACCCACTGGTAGTCATTCAGTTTGGAATGCCTAATTTTTGTGCATTCTGACAGCTGACAGGACGTTGGATTACCTAATGCACCGTTCTATTAGAGTTCCGTACCCGAAAGGTAACCAACGGGATCCTATTACTAAGGTCCGTATTTATAAACAAAACTCAGCGGAGTCGGACTTGGGTTATATTGCGTGAATTTAGAGATGGGTAGTAACAAATCCGTAAATGTACATAACAGTTACAGATTTGCTAATATCCATCTCTAAATTCCAATCTAACACCAGAACTACCTAGAACTTTAGAGGCGTTGTAACCGAACTTCGATTTTAGTTCAAGGACGACTTACCCAAGTCCGATTCAGGTATGTTCTGTTTATAAATACGGACCTAAACCTCGGCTGTCCGTTTGTTTGTCTGTCAGCGGGTTGTATCCACATACTTATAATAGGTATACGGAGCAAGAGAGACGTCCGACCTGTTTAACAAGGAGCGGCTAAATGCTGACCGGCGTGCACAGATTATTTATTTTACTTTTCGTCAGAGGGCGCAGCTACTGCTGATCATATTGTCAATTGGTGAACAAATAAGTTTGAATTTGAATTGTGTTGTTAATGTTGAAGTACCATTTCTTATCTGCATTATCAGTTATTACCTGCACCTGTTTAGATTATTTAAGACGAAATACAATACGCAAACATATTCCTTTCATTTTGCTACATATGCCAGATAACAATTCTGAAGGAGCTGATGGTAAATATAAACAAAATAAATGTGATGAAGACAAGGCTGAAGTAAATACACCTTTAGAGTATTTGGGACAAAATATTTCAGCAGAAGCAACAAGTTTAGGCACATTAAAAAATAAAATAAAAAATTAAATCAATGATATGCAGGGCAAATTAGAAAATTCCTCTGATGAAAATGTTCTCAGGCAAGTTTCTCAATATTTGAAGAATGCTAATTTGCTCTTAAACTATGACAACAGCATTAGCAGAGTCGATATTCCTTGTGTAACCTCTGCAGAAATTAATGAGCTACCAAATAAAAAAATTAAAAAACAGCTGGTCTTCACCTCAACAAAAAAAAGCAAAAGGGCAATAATTATCAAAAAAAAAACGCAATTTAAATGAAAACGAAATTATTAGAAGTACTCTTAGCAGTTCTTTAGTTATTAGTAAAAGTAGTGACAATGATCATAATTATTTTTAATTTCTAATTTAAGGTTTTTGATTTTTTTTTAATATTAGTTGATATAGATTATGTTCCTTTTCCTAGTTAAATACTTTTTTAACTTAATCTGTAATGTATTTTATTTAAGGCAAGAGAGGTAGAATTGGTATTATTATGACCTAACACTTTTTATTTTCCTAATTATTAATATTTTTTATGTTCCGACATCAATAGAGGTATTGAATGTTTCAATAAATATATATTCATATTGATAGCAACGAAAAAATCTTTAATACATTCAAATATAAACTTTATGCATATCTTTCGTCTAAGACATATTAATACTATGTAGAATTTGTGAGTGATACTCGGTGATCCGTAATGGTACCACTTTATTATTCTAATGTATGCTATACTATTTGAAACTAATTTGTATTTAATTTTTACCTCATTTGTAACATTTTTAATATTGTGTTATATAGGTTATTTAGGTCTTATAATATGTTTGTACATTTTTAAATTTTTTTTATTCGAATGTGTCAAAAAACGTCGTTATTCAGACAGAAAACAGTCGAAAAGTAGAACTTTTGTGTATACTTCATAAAGTATCGGCCATGCCTTCTCCTGCCGCTACAACAGTATTATTCATTGCACAAAAGGAGCAATTAGGCTTATTTTTATTCTAGACTCGTAGAAATCATTTTATTAATCACCATATACTCACCCTACCCTCAATATATATTTATTAAACAATTCTATACACAAAAAAGAATGAAACTCAATTTTATAGAGACAATGATTGTCACAACTATTATTTCTATATTTTAATAAATTGACTATAATGATTGTGTGTTTTAATATACCATCAAAACCCAATATTATTAATTAAATTACTAACAAATTTGTAGTGATTTTATTTTTTTAAATAAATGAGTGAACTACTGATCATTTTTTATTGGTTATTTTATTTATACCTACCAATAAATTCCTATTTAATAGGTTATTTATTAACTCACGTCTAACCCAGAATTAATAACAATAAAATATAATTTAAAATACAATTTTTGATGCAGTGTATGGTGTGCAAGTCAAAATTATCAATTTAAAAAACCGCGCTCAAATAAACGCCATCTAGCGGAAAACACAAAAAATATGTGCACGCTGGTCAGCATTTAGCCGCTCCTGTTTAACATAGGGGCGGCCATTTTTATACAAGATTACTAGTACATAGGTGACCAGAAATACAGCAATATGAAAACTTGGTTGCAGATGTCTAGCTCTTTCCACTTTTAAATACATAATTTTGTACAGATTTTTTAAAAGAAATAATACAATATTATATTTGAATTAAATTTTTATTCTACAACAAATAAAAATATTTTAATGTTTAAAAATACATGTTAGGCTGATAAATAATAGGCCGACAAATAATAGATTAAATACCTAAATACTAATTTTAAATGACAAAAGTAGAGGAAGTTAAAAATATTAAAATTTCCAGGATACTTTAAAATTAAATTGATGGTTGCATATTTGTTTTATTTTAAACAATTTACTTTCTTCTTGTATAATTTCTAAAAGCTACAAATTTTTAGTGAATGGGTCGTTCTTATTGATTCTGCAGTGAATTGTACTAACAACTTAAAAGAAATTTTGTCCAATCTCTATATGGCAGATAACCACAATAAGGAACGATCTGCTTGTTTTGGAACCCTAAAATAATATAAAGACACTGCTTTCATATCCTTTATTTTTGCTAAATCTTATTACTTGTGGAATGTAACATTTGAATCTATTGGCAACAGTCTTCTTATGTTCTTGCAAGATCTTACAAGACATCTTGAATAAAGCCCAGTATAGAGAACTTATACTGGGATTAAAGTCTATTCACAAATGTTAAAATAAATAAAACGTTTATACACTTAGAAAATAATATCCACAATCAAAATATTCTAAAATAACACAAAAAAATTTAACCAAATTCACAAACACATTAAAATTTGACACTTTTGACAGATGGAAAGATAAATTGGTTGCATAAGTTTCAGTTTGTTTATATAAAAATGGCGGTCATTTCTATCTTCTTTTATTAAACACTCAGTAAAGATGCGCAGAGGGTTTTACGCCGTATACCTATTTAAGTATGTGGTTGTATCTCATGATCTGTAATATGTAGACAATTGAAATTTTCACAGAATGTGTATTTCTGTTGCTGCTATAACAACAAATAGTAAAAATAAATTAAAGGGGACTCCTCTATTAGAAACGGGTTATTTTGGCTTTTTTGCTCGATCTTAATAAAGTATTTAAAAAGCACCTACTTATGCCGCGTTTGAGAATCCACATCGGATGCATTTTTTACATCTCGAGCGTTTTTTTATCCACATCGGACACATCTGTTCCATTACATTTACGTATACTGAATCACGTGATCAAAGATTTACTACATCTCAGATGCATCCGATGTGGATTCTCAAACACGGCAATAGTATTAAATCTTATACGATTTTATTTTCATCGTTTGACAGCAATCCCAGTACTAAGGCATTCTGTGGAATGACTGAATATATAAAATTAGGGGAGGATGGCCCAAAATGATTCCTCTAAGCTAGAAAGGTCTGTAAAACACAATGTATACAAGAGAAGAAGTTCAAACATATTTTTTTGAAATGTCTGTAGACTGTATTTAAATATTGCCCTACCAACATTTTGGTATAATAGGTAAGACATTTTTTGAGGGCAGTTATGTAGATGTTTGCAAAAGGATCGTTTTACCCTGATAGGTTGGGCAAAATGATCCCCTAAAGTAAGGCAAAATGATCCCTTGGGTAAGGTAAAATTATCCCTGTTCTATATGCATTTTAAGAGTTTCTTCGTAATAAAACAACCAATTAATGACTACCAAAATTACTTTAACTAAACCAAAAGACATTAACAATAATCTAAAATCGCTGTGTAATAAAACAGCTAATAAAAGGATATCAAAAAACGACAAAATACAAAAAATCTGAATTAAAACGCAAAACAAGATGACATTACAAATTATCTATTAACTGTTTGCGCACTTTGTTCACGTTGGCATGGTCAATACAATAGTCACATCAATATGGATCGCAGTCATTATCGTCGATTCCCGCACACTCTCATGCGCCCAACGATAGCACATTGAGCACTGCACCCACCCTTCTCCTGAATGAGACTGTAGAAATGTTTCGATACAAAAATCACATTTTGTATCTTCTTCCACTTCGGATTCCTCTGAAGATTCCTCGTCATTTTTGTCCTGCTTTTCTTTTGTTAGTCGTATATTTTCTCACATTTCGCCTTTTATTTTTTCCTTGGGAAACTTTTTTTTCTGTCAATTTATTATTGTTTTTTAGAACTTTTTTTCGGCCTGCTTTTCCTTCTTCTGTTGTTCCTCTAACAATTGATTTTTATGCGGAGTGCTTGTCAAAACTACTGTGCCACCAGACTTCCTTGATTTTGAGCTATGTTGTTCTTGTGTCATTTTAGGGAGTGGGTGAACATCATTTGGCAGTACGTTAAAACAATTTGATGCCTTCGATGTCGAGGGTTCATTAACCGAAGCTAAGGATTACGTAACAGTTGCTGGTAAAGCGTCATTTTACGGAAAAACTCCCGTCTTCTTGAATTACGGCAGTAGTAGACACACCTCATTCTGCGGATACAACTCTGCCAACTTGTTTTCTGCCTCTTTGAGCTAGAACCTTACAGTTTTCATCTGGGACCGTACTCAAAGATGTTTCGTCAACATTGTGTGCTGGAAATTGTGTTTGGTCATACACTGTCTTTAGCAACGTGAAAAATGTGGTCACGACAGGCCGGTTAAAAGCACGACCGCGAGCTGCTGATGTTGACTCAGGTGATCTTAGTAAAAGTTGAGGGTGCCTATTGCGAAAACCGGTCAACCAATCTTTGCCAGTTAGACATGTTTCCTTGGAAAAAGGATTATCAATATTATTTTTGTCTGCAAGCTGATAAGCAATGGATCTTACATCTTTAGTGGTAAGACCGTACATTCGACTTTCCATGTTAAGTTATTGCGCAATCAATTCCTCTTCCTATTCAATATTATTTTTGTCTGCAAGCTGATAAGCAATGGATCTTACATCTTTAGTGGTAAGACCGTACATTCGACTTTCCATATTAAGTTATTGCGCAACCAATTCCTCTTCCTGTTCCTTAGTGAAAACCAGTCTTTTGCTTCCCAGTTTCTTAACAGCATTAACAGCTAACTTGTTCGTTCCTTTACAGCGTCTCTTTAAACTCATCAGCGGAACACCATTATTTCTGGCCGCAGTTTTGTAACCTAATCCACGACATACATCTTCTATTGCTTGTTGCATTTTATCTTCGTCCCATAACTGCCTCTCAGTTTTTTTTACATGTTTGAACCATGTTATTACCTGCAACAACAAAAAATGTAAAACAATTTGGTAGTTGTTGAAACATTTTCCCATTTGTTATCTTAAATTTTTACTGTGACAAAAAAAAACCCAGTAAGAGTAAGGGATCATTTTGCCCTTAAAGTGTACATATTGCATTAGGTTAAGGTAACTTGATGCCGGTTCTCTTTATAATTTCCGTAAACTCGTCAAATAGTAGGCAAAACTATCAGCCGTATGCATAGTCGATCGCCAGCGATTCGCTAGAGGTTTATCTCGGCGGTATCAGCAGCGATCAGCTGGCGAAAGCCCGAAAAGGGCTTGCTAGAGATTGTCACTATGACAGCAAGTCGCCACCTTTTCGGGCTTTCGCCAGCTGATCGCTGCTGATACCGCCGAGATAAACCTCTGGCGAATCGCTGGCGATCGACTATGCATACGGCTGTGTTTTCATAAAATATATAGCAATGTTCCATAATAACACTGCGACAATAGTTTAGAAGCACTTACCTTATCAGACAGCATAAAAAACACGTTTTCACAAATATTTTTATAGAACGATGTTACAGCGTTTACCTTCAGTGGTCGACTAAACGTGGTGACTCAACTGACCGTAGTCAGCCTCTCGAACCACAGAGGGCAGCACTGGTATTTAAAATAAAAGGGGGATTATTATGCCCGCAGGGATCATTTTGGGTCACTTTCCCCTATGTTCCTTCCTTATATGATTAATAAGAAGACTTTTTGGACTAATCCATTTGCAAATATTTACCAATTTATGTTTATTTTGTAGATAAATTGGAAATGCAACCAATGTGGACTGATTTTGGAGATTTGAGTTCTGCGAAACGCCGATTCGGAAATTTGAAAATTTCGAATACTAATGGCTTCGATCTGACAGCCAAGTGAACATTAATTACAAATACTTATTTAATAAAATCATAAATCATGAAACAAATTTATATATGGACTCCAATCTGTGATAGTCATTTATTTTTTATAGGTAGATGTCACATTTTTCATGTTAATGATATAATTAAAAAATATTGTGTAATTACAAACACTAATAAATTATATATGTTTAATATTAGTATTTTATTTTCGTTTGATTTTTTGACAGAATTAAATAGTACGCTAAATATTAACCTCAAATATGAATTTGTCGCTTAAACTAAATCACCGACTCAAATTCGAGCTGGTTTTTGAAGCTGTGGCCGACAACCTTGGTCTTGATGATTTTCCCTTCAGTCTGGCTTGAAGATAGTCAACTTTTTGCTGGAGTTGGAAATTTTCGTACAGGAGACTGTTGTTTTTACGTATCTAGAATTATTAAATTGATATAATAATTAATAAATTGGGCGGAACACCAGACATCTATGTGTTTTTTTTTTTATTGAGCAAGTATCAAAAAATGTCTGGGCCGATTTAGGTTTAAATATAAACATTTTTTTGATAAACAACAAGTGAGGGTTTCATCTCATATATATGGGTATAAAAAGATCCATGTATAACAAAAAAATCTAAATCCGGACAAACATAGTCGCAGTTTAAATGTTATCGAGGACGATCCAACAAACGACATGTTTTCAAAAATATATATTTTATTTCCGAAAAAAACTCTTAAAAACTGCTATCTTTCGAACTTATTTCCTAAATTAACCTCAGAAAAACAGAATGGATTAAATTTAAGAAATTGTTGCAAAAAATAAATATTTATTTTTAATATTTTTAAAAATGCAAGTTTTTAGGCGATTCATTTTTATCATATTACTGATCAGGCAAGAAAATGATTCAAACAATAAAATTCTATTTATAAGGGTGAGTAATCTAAGAAATTTCCCATGGGGACAAAAGTAGTTAAATTTACAATCCAAATCTATTTTTTAATTTACATTACAGTTTTATGTTTACAAATCAATAAATGTAAAATATTTTTGTTTTGTTTAATCCAAAGGTATTTCCATTTTAGCAATAAATGTGAAAACTAGTACCTAGTACCTATTATAGTGTTTGTTATGTTAAAAAACCTTTTAACTGCAGTTTATTCGACTATAAAATTTAATGTAAAGTTATTTATTTAAATTAATCTATGAACTATTTTAAATATGTATTTTCATGTGATTATTTTTAACTAATGTGACGATGAATGTAACTTTTTTCGTTTGAAATTTTAATTTTGAGTCGATAGAAAACTTTTTGCAGATCCCATTTAAAATTAATTTTAAATAAATTACTTTTTGTAAAATCCCAATTACATACGCATTACATAGGTATTTGTTACCACTTAACCACTTAATATACAGAATACGTGTGTTATAGTTAACTTAGGACTATATAGAAATCTGATATTATGTTTAAATTTTAGATTACTGTAACGATTGTTTAATTTATTTATAGTTTATTTAATTAAAACGCACTATTTACAATTTATTTGTGACGTACTAATTAATTTAGATAATACTTAGGCACTATTGTAATTCACAATTCTAATTTATAAATTACAATTTATCTTTTCTTAAATTCAATCTGCTGTCCGTCGACAACTCGCACTATTTATAAAAAGCCAGCTAGGTACTAGAATACACTCGGCTTCCCACAATGATCGAGAACTGACTCAACGGCCATGTACCGCTTTTTTCTGGTAGTTTCGAGAAGCGGTGCGTTTGTCTCTATATTGCTAGACTTCATACCGCGGGCAAGGAGTAAACAAAGCATAGGGTAGGCTTTTGCGCGACATTGCCCCTTCCTTAAGAAATAGTTCCTCTTGAAACTAAAACTGAATGGTTGAATCTGCAACTGGATCTTCTTTTACAATTTCCAGTTTTTATTGAAACCCGGACACTAGGCGAATGGCTGCAGACTACTATTCGGACCTCGGAATCTTGGAAAATTACTTCCAGCATGTTTCTAATGATCCTCCAAATTAGCTGGTTGCTCTGTATCCTTGGCATGACCAGTTTCTGTACCTTGGACTCCATTAGGTGTTCCCTCAGACTAAGTAATGCTTTCCAAACATCATAATAAGTGGATCGATCTCGGAACGTGTTCTTCGTTATCAAATAGAAAAGATAACGCGAGATATCTTGAAGTTTCAATACTTTTCCAGGGGCTGGTAACTTATCTTGAAGTTCTGGCAATCGATCAAACTTCTTCCGGATACAGACGCCAGACCTCCAGCGTCATTGATGTTCGCGGAAGTGTTATGGATCAGCGAATACTCTTTAGGAACTGTGAGCAGATCTTGTTGTTGCTCGGTTGTAACACCATATCTTGCATTTCCGGTATCTTCATATGCACCCATAAATTCTTCAAAGACAAGGTCAGGTGATTTTTGGAGCTGGTTTACTTCTTCTTACTCATCATGGTTACCCTCAAATGGAGCCAGCCGGTTTTGGTGCACTACCTTCGGTTTATCATTCGGGATCTTACTTATATGGTAAATTACCTCATTATTTTTTTTCTTAATAAGGTACGGACCTTCCCAAGACCTTTGAAGCTTCGGAGAATAACCCTTCTTGTGTTATGGATCCAGACTTTGTCGCCTTCCTTGAAACATTCTTCTGTGGCTTGGGTATCGTATCGCTTCTTCATTCTGTCGCTGGCGATTTGGAGATGCGAGCGAACTAATTCATGCATATCGTCCATTTTTCTTCGTAGCTGTATCACATAATCTTCACCGGCTATGTCTTCTCCAGGTCGGCATTCAAACTCAAGGTCACACGGTAGTCTCATCTCACGTACGAACAGCACCTTTGCTGGTATTTGGCCTGTAGATTCATTGACAGCGAATCTATATGCCATTGCGAAGAGCGAAAGATACTCATCCCAATTTCACTGATGGTTGGAAACTACTGTTGATAGGTATTTGCCAATGGTCTTATTCATTCGCTCTACCATTCCATCTGACTGTGAATGCAATGCCATAATTCTGGTTTTCTTCATGCTTAGTCTGTTACAGATTTCTCGGAAAAGCTGACTTTAAAAATTTCTGCCTTGGTCAATGTGGGTCTCCAACGGCACTCCAAATCTGCTGATAGATTCTTTTATTAACATGTTTGCAACAGTTGCGGCCTCTTGATTTGGAATGGCGTAGACTTCCACCCACTTCGTGACCACCATCATATATTTATTTTCATTCTCGGTCATGGGGCATGGTCCAGAAATATCTAAGGCAATCGTCTCAAATGGGTTACCGACGTTGTACTGCTTCATGGGGGCCTTCCTTTTTCGTTGGGGTTCATTACTCATAGCACAACTTTCACCCTTTCTTAATGTAAACTCTTCAAATATTTGCATTTGCCAGTTTCTGATCTTTAATTGTTTTAAAGTGGATAAACAATAATTAAAGATCATAAATCTACCTACAAGTAAAAAATTCAGGGCAAAAATAATTTTAACTGTTTTTTTAAATATTTTGTTGTTGCGGTCGACTTTAAATTCGTCAAATAACAGGTATTTCTGTTGCAGAAACACCATTTAATAGCTATAAATGAGTTATTAATTATACCACAGTAAAAACTTATTTCTAGCAGAAAGATACACAATTAATATCCACTGAAACTAAAATTAGTAACCGTAAGTAAATAGTTCACAAACAGTAGGTGGTCTAAAAACTAATTAAACCTATTCAACCAGCCAATAAATGTATGTTATTAGAGTACAGTTGCTTTATCTAGGAACAGGTACGTATTACAAGAAAAAAAAATGAAAAAATGTAAATAAATAATTTTTTATTTCTCACATTTTGGAACGTTAAACTTAGTTTACCCTATTTTAATAAAGACGCATTAAACAAATGATAAGTATGAAACACCTTGTATTATTACCAATACTAAACTACCAATACTAATACTAAAACTAAACGTTTTGTAAATGTTTTGTTTTGTTAATTTTTTTTTTAATGTTGGTTTGAAACATAAAACGAAATTTGGCATATATTGTATTTGTTAACATAAAAAAATCGTTACTACGTCATATCTAGAATATTGACGACGCCATAAAACATAAGTACATTAAAATATATGCACCTAAAAATAAAAATCGACGTACATTAGCATTTTTTTTGTAACTTGTATTGGACATCTAGAAATATAGTATTTCGCCCATTTTCCCCAACCCAGCCAACCCTGTATAGTTCATTAATTGAAAAATCTATTGTGCTGGAGTGTTTGATTATACGGAAAGTATCCTCGTTAATAAAAAATTAAAAGTTAAAATCGATTTGATTTTTAAATAAATTTATGACTCTAATTTTTAGTATTTTTGGACAATATGTTGAAGTTGCCAAGAATCGAACTAGAAATCCGTAATCCAAAGTCTTACTGACTGCGCCAGGTAGACATACATCTATGGAAGTAGGTATATGAATTAGTAAAAAATGATAATAAACTCAGTTTTTTGTAATATTTATTTTTATCTTTCTATGAAAGTGTTAGTAAATGAAAAGGCAATATTTTAAATTTCGACAAACCACCATGAAAAATGAAATAAAAAGAAAATGGTATAAAAACAAAGAAAGTAGTTAAGAGCAAAGAGTTATATTAATAAAATTATGGTTTAAATTTGCTTTGTTCCAAAGGAAAACAGGTAACCCTTCATTGCAGTCTCACCATGTTTTTCAGAGTTGGCTTTGGTTTTAGACAATGGATTACAGTTTACAACAGGTATAATCAACGCTCAATTATCAATTATCCTCTTTAACCTTGTCGGATCATTGTAGTGGCGCTATCGCTATAAAATGTTAAGTCCTTAAAAGACAAACAATACAACGAAAATCAATATGAATTGCTCAAAATTAAACTTGTAAAAAACATACTTCTTGAATAAGTAAAGCTTTTTCAGAATTTTCAGTATATCTCAATTGATCCATTAAAAACTGGTCTTGCTCCATTGTCTGCTTATTTAATAAACTAACAAATTTGTTGTGAACCAATCTTAAAGTGTCTCTTTCAGATTTTAGCTTAAAAATCTACAAAATAAATAATATAAATATAAATAGTGTGTGGGCAAACGAAAGCGAAAAAAGCTTTATCACTGGCGTGATATTATACAATATTGGCAATCTAACGCATTCCAATATGTTTGGCACAAGTGCGTGAGAAAACTGCAGAGGGTCCGTCCAACGTTACAACATGATCGGGCCGTATAAACTGGCAACGCTAATATTATTCGTTTCCTGCTCGTTCTAATACTAACTCTCTGTAGTTTTCAAATACATTTGTGCAAAGCCGACAATGTATATCTTAAATAGATTTGAATTGGTACCTTATCGAATTTATTTTATCTTATTTTTCTTTCCATTTGAACCGTTATAAAACAATTTTGCAATGCTTTAATTTTTGACAACTTTCTAGTAAGCTCCCGCTAGGTGTCCAGCAAATCAAACTACTGATTCTAGAATATTTACGCCCTTCCGCCATGATTTACGTATAGAGGTACAGTCGGTAGATTATCTCGTGGCCTCCGTCGCCTCAACAACTGGCGCAAAGAAGGACCACAGCTGCCGTACACTATCCCTACTTTGTTGTTGCCACACCTACGAATTATCTCTGGCAGGGTTGCCAATTTAGCGATTTTGTAGCTAGATCTAGTGATTTCAGAAGGTCTGTTGCGACTTCGAATTTGAGACGTGTCTCAAACCTCGCCGTTATCTGGCTATTATCTGGTGACTTTTACATACAGGAATGATGATGATGATGATGATAATAATAATAATAATAATAATAATAGGTGTAGGCCATATTCTAGCAATGAAAAAGGAGGTGGTTGTACAATTGAATATAAAAGTAAATGTCTATAATTTTGAATTTTGACATTATTGAGAGTTGCAAAATTCCAGTCATTAAAACGATTAATTTTCATTTAATTTCACATTCAATCTGTGATAAATACCTATGTTAAAAAGTAAGAATATTAACCAACTTTATTTAAATAGAAATTATTTTGTTTTTAGAAGATTTGTAATTTTGTTTTGTTAGATGTTTATTAAAAAAAATGCTTGTGTATTAAATAAATATGCACGTTATATTTCTTAAACAAGTTCCTATATATATTTTGCACCTAACTTTATTATGATTAAAAAAAAATAGTAAATTTTTTTTTTATCAAAGTGATTTTTTCGTAGTCGCGCAAAAAAGTCGCCAGATTTTCAAAAAAAGTCGCCAGATTTTTAAAAAATTTCGCTTGCGGCGGGCCGTTTTCTCGCTACGCTTGTATTTTTTAAATTTGGTGATTTCTAGCGATTTTCCACTTGTAAAGATGAGACTTTCATATGGCATCTATTGGCAACACTGACCTCTGGACACAGAAGGTGCGTTTTAATCATCCGCTTCTGCTTCCGGAATTGGCGGTTTAGTCGTTTTAATCTGTCAGATTAAAACAAGAAAACCGTCAACTCAGAAACAGAAGCGGATGATTAAAAGGCACCTATTGGCCTCGAGGCCTCGAGAGCCACCAGATAATCTGCTGACTGTACATAAAATTATTATTGAATTTCATGAAACACTCTCCGAATATTAAGGATGTATTCATGAGCCCCTTTATTTGTAATTTTTGATTTTTCTGCCATGGTTATCGACTATAGCCTGACTATAAGACATGCTTCCCCCCTGGAAATTGTTTGAACTGCACCCATGGCTGTATTGTTACCAGATATTGTGATCAGATGATAAACATCCAGTCAAATGATGTTCAATAATTATTAGGGTTTAACAAATTTGTACAAGTATTAAAAGTAATTTTAAAAAACCGACTTCAAAATCGTGCAGATGTCATCACCACATCTTGACCAAATTTGTATGGGACCACCCTTGAGGTAACCCCTTAGTAACAAAAAAAATGAAGTATTTGAGAATTTTCTCATGGACCCAATTATTAGATTTTGACCAAATGTATATGGGACCACCCCTGAAGTACCCCCTTTCTAACAAAAAAAGAATCATTGAAATCGGACACTGTCTTAAAGAATTATTACTGAACATACATAAAAAAAAATTAAAAAAATTACTACGAATTGAGAACCTCCTCCTTTTTTGAAGCCAGTTAAAAATAATAACTAAAACAACGGACCTTTCTATTTTTCCTATTTTTCGTTTTTCTAACTTGATCCAATAATTTAGCAAATTCTATCTCGTATTTGTTTATAGTGTATTTTAAATTTTCAAGATCTTCTTTTAATTTCACGTTTTCTGTATGGTATTTGCGAATTTCTTCGTGTCTCATGTCTAAAATTTTTAGTAAACCGTTTTGATTTGCTACCAATTCTTCATATCTAAAATTTACAGTTGGTGATTGTTCAATTTTCGAGTATTGAAGACATATTTTTTATATTTTGAATACATACATTTTTTGGACGCTGTATAGAGGAGTATTCGCCTTCAAATCCAGAAAATTATTTACCTATACTGTTTAAATAAATTTTCTTAACCACTTAAAAGTATTTTTAATGATCAAAACTCTTTTCTGCAATAATTTATATCCCAAATAATCATTAAGTTTTTAAAACTGGTAAGAAAAAAAAGGGGTGTATGAAGGAAATTTTATTGCAGAAATAATGTATATTTAATCACATACTTTGATTTTCTTTTACTATACGGAGAATGGTAGCACTGCGCAGCTTTCTGAGTGCCTTTTAAAACGAGATAGAAAACTCCGCCATTTTGAACCCTTATTACGTGTTGCCTACATCTTGGCGCAATATTTTTAATAGGTGCGTTTTAATCATCCGCTTCTGCTTCGGAATTGTCGGTTTTCTTATTTTAATCTGACAGGTTAAAACGACTAAACCGACAATTCCGGAAGCAGAAGCGGATGATTAAAATAATAATAATAATAATAATAATAATAATAATAATACTCTCCCTAATTCACCCCCTTACGAGTGAATTTTAACCCCAAAAGCTGAGCTTGTCCGGGGAAAGGGACGGCTATTATTATTATTTGCCGTGGCGCTCCGGGGCGACTTAAAGATGATTGATGGTGCCATTTGACTTACAGGTGAGGAAAACCCGGAAAACCTCACCCACCATCATCGAGACGGTAATGTATGGCGAATTTTTTTAATCTGCATGTCATATCAACAGAAATTGAATTTCTATTAATACGCCACACATCAAATCCTAAATCGAACCATGCAATTTAATTAAAAATCCACATGGTCTGGTCTGGGATTCGAAACCCAGCAGTCTCAGACTCATAAACTTGCCTATAAATGAATATAAGCGCGATAGACCGCTACACCACCGTGCACCTGATATTTTGCTTGCTGCTGTCAGTGTCAGTGAATATTATTTTTGGAGTCACAGTTTATTGCTAAAGAATCAGTTAGCTCACTCGGACCAGTTGAAAGTTCCAAAATAACATCCACTCCAGGAATACAAATCCAGGATACGCAGAAGACTGCTGTTTTATTATAGGCGGTTGTCATATATTGTATTATCCGAGTTGCGCAGTGTAAAAACTGGAACATTGAGATCAAAAGTGCCAACGCAGAGTGAGCGATCTGATTCTTTAGCTATAAACTGTGTCATAGGAATCAAAATGGCCGCGCCCTATGTTGGGCGTGTCGGACCTCTCACTTGCCCCGTACAGTAATCAAAGTATGTGATATTTGATACTTAAATGTCATAATACCTGGCGACAAAGACCGACAAACATTTAAAACCTCTTTGGTAAATGAACTTTTATCAAAAAATTATTATTTTCAATATATTTCTCAATTTTTTGATCAGTATATGTACTATACTGCTTAAAACTGAGTATTCTTAGTAGAAGTGCAGTTTTGCATTTTACTCAATGGGACAGCTAATGATAAAACTAAAAAATAAAGTAATCGTACAGGGTTTTTCATTATATTTCGACCGCTACTAATTTTCATTATTATATTGCGAACACAAAAAAAGCTTTTAAGTAAAAGCTTTGTTGTTTTACCTGTACCGACTAAAAATGTAATAACTCTCAGAATTTTATATACAAAATATAATTTAATTTTTTTAATGGGACACCCTATATATTTTTGTCATTTTAAGTAGACTTAAATTTCCTGATTACAAATATATATTTCCGCCTACCTCTATCCAAAGTATACATTTTCTGGCCTCATTGCAGGGAGCAAAGTCGTACTTTTCCTCCCTAGGGAGGAAAAGTACTTTTACTCCCTAGGGAGAAAAAGTAAAAGTGACGTCATGGTATGTCATAAATGAAATAGCTTATACACGGCATTGACGACCTAAACTATATTCTATTATATAAGTATAAATTTTACCGTTTATTTATAGAACACCCTGTATTTTGCAAAATAGTAAAAACCAGTAAATTGTTATTTTAATTTAACGATTTTTACATTAATAATTTGACTTCAATTCATAGATTCATCCGATTTTCGAATTTAGGACAGAAATATTATAGCATGCTATGGTCGATTGACAGATCAGTTTCAAAGTGTGTTACGTTATAATATATCTACAAAATATAAAATAATATTTAAAAAATGAGTGATTTAAGCGAATTTGAAGATATAATTAATACACCACCGGATATTTTGGAACAGGTTAATGCAACAGTACCTACAATCTCTATTACCCCAAAAATCTAAAGAAAAATACGAAAAACAGTATTTACATTTCAAGCAATGCGCCGAAGAAAATTATTTAAAAATGACTTGTTATTTGAGGGAGGCGGAAAAATCATATGTATTACTTGGGAGTAAAGTGCCTTTTCCTCCCTTGGATGTTTACTGCCCTCCGCTTCGCGTCGGGCAGTAAACTTCATATTGCGGGAGGAAAAGTGGCGCTTTCCTCCCTAGTAATACAAATAGCTATTTTTATTATTTAGTGACTTACTGCACTATGAAAGCGTAACACATAGATGGCTATGAAAATGATGTTTCCAAGTGAAACAGTTGTTTGTTTATTAAAAATTGCCAATTGACTGTAACGAGTTATACTGTAGCCGAAAAAGTTTAGGTAAAACAACAAAGCTTTTATTTGAAACATTTTTTTTGTGTTCACAAGAATAATGAAAAATAAGCAGTGGTCAAAATATAATGAAAAATCCTATCCATAATTGTGCAAGTGCTTCCAGCTTTGTCGACTCACAAAGACTGAGCTAAGGCAGACAATAAGACTACCAGAAGTGACAGTATCTAGCTTTTGAAAAACAAATATATCTTCTGTTGGTTAAAAATAGTTTATTTTTTATTTTTGGCTAGAAAGTGAATACCTCTCTATGTGCGCCGACTCTAAATCCATTTTCAATACTTTTTAAAATAGACAAATTCTCACATTAATTGTAGCCACATCAAAGAATATTCTAAAATAATTTTTCACTTACTTGTATTGTAGATGTACCAAACTCATGGTACTGCAAGAAGTACTTGAATTTGTTCTAGGTACATCTCTGCCCTCCCTATCATCTAACTGAAGCATATCTGTAAATGGTATCTATTTTTAAGCAATATAAAACTATAAAGCTAAGCATAGTTCATCGGAAACGCAGAAGAACCTAATTAATAATGTGTGAGGAACAAGGATATATACACTTCAATATTCCTACCATCATAAGCCTACTTGATTTTCGATCATAAGTTATAGTTAAACCAGAGATCTAGTGACTATCATAAAACAGCATGTAATTTACTTATCAGAAGGCGGCAGTCTCTACGCAGAGACGTATCTACTCTAGTCATTAAGTTTTGTTCTATAGGTCAATAATTGAGGCAAATTAAATATTAAGAAAAATCGCTATAATTCAGAATTGTTTATTTAATTATACAGTGTGTACAAAAAATAACGTGGTAACTTGGTTAAAGCAAAAATCAGTATGACAAAGTACGAAAAAGTAGGTTGGTAATAAAAGTACTAAAAAGTAAAAAATAAAGTATTTAAAAGTACAAAATGTAGATTGACTATATAAAATGTAATTATTAAAAAGTATAACGTGGTAAAATGGTAAAAGTAAAAATCGGTATGACAAAGTACGAAAAAGTAGGTAGGTAATAGAAGTACTAAAAAGTAGAAAATAAAGTATTTAAAAGTACAGAATGTAGGTTGAACATATAAAATATAATTATTAAAAAGTATAAAGTGGTAACTTGGTAAAAATAAAAATCAGTATGACAAAGTACGAACAAGTAGCAAGGTCATAGTGATTGTTTCTACCCTTACATTGTAGAATCTAATCATAATAAATAAAATATTAAAAAATTAAATGTAAAAATTCCACTATTGTGAATCCTGACGATGGAAGTTTATGCTTTTGAAACAGTTGTCGATTTTGAATTACTAAGATAAGTATTTTTATTAATATTGTGGAATTTTTACATTTCATGTTCTAATATTTTATTTATTTAAACAAAATTACTCACGAAGTTCAGTTTCACTTTCACTATCGTCATCCAAATTAATAATGAACCTTTCTCTATGTCTTTTCCACCTTTTTTATATGGGAAACATACTTGGTCCAGCTGCTATCACGATTTTTTGCATATTTTGTTTGAATAAGAGCTACCACAGTCGAACTTAAGGTTGGAGAAGCTGACGCCATATATATTCAATTGGGTTAAACGTACAGTGGTAAGACGAAAGTCTGAGCACCGTATGTCCCAAGCTCTCAGCTAATGTGTCACAAAAATATTTCTTTTGTATTGAATAGCTTTTTAAAACTTCCAGAAACTGCTTTTTTGTGTACTTTTCCTCAAAGTACAAATCATTGTTTACCATGTAATCTTGTATGATGGCTTTTATGTCGTTTGAACAAGGTGCCTAATCTAGTCTTCGACTGTGGTAGCTGGCATTATCCATGACGATAGTACTGTTAGGTGGAATATTTGGCAAAAGTTTAGTTTGGAACCAATCTTGAAATAATTTGGCAGTACTGTCGTCATGGTAATCGACTAAGAAGTCCTAAATATTTTTTTGCCGATAACGACAACGCATTAGGTATAAAACCATTATTGGTTCCTGCGTGTATTATAGTGCGTTTGTCTTTATTATGTGGCGTATTAGTCTGGCACAAGTCAGATGAGTCTACCCAACTTTTGTTTGGAATATCGTGTGTATCGAACCAAGTTTTATCCAAATACACAACTGTTCTGCCAGCTTCTCTCATTTGTCGCCAATAAATATTGAAATCTCCATTACTTAAGGCGCACAGATTCCATTATGACTTTTTTGCTGTTATTAAATTTTTTAAATTTAAACCCGTTTCTTAAAAGAGACTTCCTTAAAGTCTCTTTGCTACACTGGATGCCACTTTCGTCTTTTTCGAGTCGTTGCATCAATATATCTAGTGTAGTCACAATTTGCTCTCTATACAAGTCATATATTTTCCGTCCAATTAGGTCTACATCACAGCCATCTAGTTTCTTTGAAGTATAAGAATCTTTTCTTTTTCTTCTTTTTAAAATAGGTTTACTTACTATTTTAAATATTGTAGAATACGGCGTTTTAGTTAAAGAGGCAGTTTCTGGCACTGCTTGAGTCTTGGTCATTCCACGTTCCATAAGGGAGGTATAAACACTTAATTTTTTTTCCATCAACGTGTAAAACTTATCGATATGTGATATTACCACCACCAGTTGAAGTACTGGCTACAGGTTCAGCCCATGGACGGAACATTTTTCACTACATAAAATGTTTAAGACACTTCGAAATAATCGCAACTGATACAACGGAATATTCGTTAATAACTGAATTTAGTTTAACTACTATCCTCCTTTCGTTTCTAAAAACGGTAATTGGTCAGTTCTCAAAACAATTACATACTAACTAACTCCCCATTATTAATTTAACTTTCTCTAATCTGATTGGAATTGTAGGACTCGATATCTTAAACAATAGTATTCTTGTCTTCAAAGTCTGGTAATTTATTTGTAAGTCTATATCCAATTAAGTCAGGTGGTCAGGCAAGTAAATTTTATTTATAAGTACTTTAAATTCTAGGAATTTTTTTATTATAAAAATAGTTTTACATTCAAAACTGTTAACAATTGAAATAGAGAGCCCTCAATTATAATATTATTAAAAAAACATATTCTTTACTATTTCATGAGAATATATATTTTAATCCGGACCTGGGAATCTTTTAACCAACAGACAATTTTAAGGCTTATCTACAAATTGAGTAATAGTGATAATGAGGGTTGTCGGCTAATATGATTTATGAGAGTCACTAGACCTCTGGTTTTACTATATATAAGCATTATTTCTCTCATATAGTAGGTATTTATTAGGTTAGCTACTTCACCGAGTGAAATAGCTCTGCCGTAACGAATCTGCCTCGTTTTCGAACGGTCATGAGCCCGAGCCCCACTGCCGCCTGGTTTCCTATGAGTTTTTCAGATGTTTTCTAATAGCAATAGGCAATTGCTGGGTCATAACAGCCTCTCAGATACCTATCACATTCCTTTAACCCCATCCGAACAGGCCCGATATCTTGACCCCTTAAGTGTTCTAGCAGCTCAAGAGGTTAGTAATACCTTTAGAGGCCCGTTTCCAACTAGGGAGCATGAAATACACATCCTTTGTGGTTTTAAACAGTTTAAACGTAGCATTTGGCAAAATATACGTACTGGCATTTTATGTTAAGCACTATTACATTTTGTAAATTATACAGGGTGTCTGTAAAAGGTCTTTACAAAAACATACCACATATTCCTTAGACCAAAATAAGTCGATTTAAGTAAAATTACCTTAGTACAAAGTTGCTTCGTTTGGGCTCCAGAGGGCCTTGAAGTTACAATTTTTAAATCGTTTTTCCCATATAAATTTAAAACGGCATATGCGATTTTGCTGAAATTTGGTATATTGGTAGAGTTTGATGTGGCAAAAAAATAGAATTAAAATTTTGTCCGATAATAATACATAGGCGTAGAACTTGATTTTTTAAATAATTGCACCTTTAAAAAGTCTACGCCAATGGAAGAAAAGGAGTTTGAGTATGAAATTTAGATTGCGCAACTCATTTACTTTAAAAAAGGTACTCTTGATAAGACTCGATTACTCTCATGGTTTTGACGAAATTTGCATTTTAGTAATTTTAGAACATAAACAATAATTATTAAAATACAAACTTTGTCAAAACCATGAGAGTAAATCGAGTGTTATCAAGGGTACTTTTTTGTAGTAAATGAGTACCCAATCCAAATTTCATACTCAAACCCCTTTTTGCCATTGGCGTAGAATTTTTAAAGGTGCAATTATTTAAAAAATCAAGTTCTATGCCTATGTATTATTATCGGACACAATTTTATACGATGAAAAACGTAAAAATGTACCTTTTTCATATCTTCTTCAACCCCACTAATCGAGACTTTTAACAAAAATACTCGATTCTTGCCATGTACGATTTTTTGAGGAATATTAATTATTTGCCTGCATTACGTAGGTATACAAAAACATTTATTGTTGGTTTCCATAGTTTCATCTAAATAAAAATATTGTCAAGTTTTAACACCTAATCTCTTGTTAACGATTGAAAGTGTTCTATCTGACTCAATAATTAAAAAAACAAATGCGTGGTTTATTAATATGGCTGTACAATATACCAATGCGGAATATATCGATATGTTACTGTCATTAGGATTTTGTGAAGGAAATGCTCGAGAGAGTGTCAGGGTGTACTCTGAAAGGTTTCCAAATAGTCGTGTACCTAGCCACCCAACTTTTGCTGTTGTTGAGAGACGTGGGCTGGAATAATTGGTAATTTCATTGTTGGTCCTGTCATACTTCCACGAAGATTAACTGGAGAAAATTATTTGGATTTTCTACAAAATGCGTTGCCAGAATTGTTAGAAGATTTACCTCTCCAACTTCGGAGAGATATGTGGTTTATGCAAGATGGAGCTCCACCACATTTTTCTTTAAACGTTAGAAACCACTTGAATGAACAATATCCACACAAATGGATAGGCAGAGGTAATGACGCACCTGTAAACTGGCCACCACGTTCCCCAGACCTAACACCGATGGATTACTTTTTATGGGGACATCTGAAATCCACAGTTTACAGGGAACCTGTAGAAAATGAGGAACAACTCTGGCAACGTATTCAAGATGCAATAAACAATCTTAGAGGTGATGAAGAAGTTATGGAAAGGATACATTTTAATTTTCTTCGACGTATAAATCTTTGTATGCGTGAAAATGGTGAACATTTTGAACATTTTTTGTAAAATCTCTATTTTGATTATGTTGTAAATAAATATTTTTGTGAAACCTATACACTCTAAATTATTAAAACAGAAATTTAGCGAAAACCATAACAGTAATCGAGTCTTATCAAGAGTACCTTTTTGAAAGTAAATGAGTTGCGCAATCTAAATTTTATACTCAAACTCCTTTTCTTCCATTGGCGTAGAATTTTTAAAGGTGCCATTATTTAAAAAATCAAGTTCTACGCCTATGTATTATTATGGGACAAAATTTTAATACCATTTTTTTGCCACATGAAACTCTACCAATATACCAATATTTCAGCAAAATCGCATATGCCGTTTTAAATTTATATGGGAAAAACGATTTAAAAATTGTAACTTCAAGGCCCTCTGGAGCCCAAACGAAGCAACTTTGTACTAAGGTAATTTTACTTAAATCGACTTATTTTGGTCTAAGGAATATGTGGTATGTTTTTGTAAAGACCTTTTACAGACACCCTACCCTGTATATCGCATGACATATAGCAGCAAGTTATGAAATTAAGAATATTCTTAAGTATTCTATTTTACAGATTTTGCAAAAAATCTACTTACGTGAAATAAAAAAATATAATTTTATACGGAGAACAATAATTTTATGAACTATAAGCATTTGAATGTCTTACTTAAAAGTTGCTTATTTTCTTTTTGAGCTTCCTTTAACTGTGTAGAAATGCTTTGATCTTTGAGTTGATCTATTTTCATCATCATCAATATTTGCCTGTCCAGCTGTTCCGATTTTAATAGACTCGTATCTAATTCATCTACCAAAGTGTACACTTTCTTCACCCGTTTTTGGAAACCACTCTTCTTATCCTAGGAAATTTTAAAAATGACAAATTCTTGAACAACTTACCATATTTAAATATACTTTACGGGTGTCTAGCATTAAAGAATGCTTGGAAAAAAGTCTTTTGTCGAAGAAAAAAATATTGGAGTTACTGAAGTATTGAGGTTAACATTGACAAATTCAAAATTTTTATAAATATACATAGTGATTAAATGTTTACGTATTGTCCCTCCACGAATAAATTTGGACCAATATATAACAGTCACTTAATTTTTCAAGATAACAAAAAAAATTGCCAAAACCAAATTAAACTCTATAGGTTTTGTGTTTAGTTATGAAATAGCTATTTACATTTTCGAGAAGGTTAGAAATCTATATAACAAAAAACTTGAATATTTAGTTTTCGGTATCAATCATAAAAATGCAAATTTTCCCATTTGCACCATTTGGTTTACCACTGAAGTTATCTGTATACCGTTAGCAGGTAAATTGTGTTCAAAATCAATTATTCGGAAGCCAAATTTGAAAGATCAATTATTTGAAAGTCAGTTATTCGAAAAGTCAATTACCTATTCGAGAAGCAGTTATTCGAAAGTCAATTGTTTGAAATCAATTATTCGAATAGAAATTTTTAAAATTGTCAAGTTTATTATTAAACTAATAAAATAATTAATTTAAAAGGTTTAAGAGTTTAATTTTAGGTAAGGTAGATGTAAATACAAAATATGAAACTAATAACTTCTTATAATAAATTGTTAAATGCATATTCAATAAATTCAACAGGAACAAAGACTAGGGCATTTAGCATCTTTATATATACGAATGGTTCCAAAACCATAGAAGTAACAGGAATAGGAGTGTATGGGCCTAGAACCAGTAGCCCAAGAGCCCACTGCAAATTTTTACCGTCATCTGATAACGAAATGAAATATACCCCAAAAGCATGAAAAAACATTGTACTTTACCAAATGGCACCTGTGCCATTCCCAATCCTGAGCAAAGTGACCTAAAAAATTTATTTTATATTAAAGAAATCACATAAAGCATGACAGCGCTAATTTTGTTTGCCCTTAAAGTTTTCCAGAAAATAACATTCCTATATATCTTGATATATATCGTTAAAGGGAAACATTTTCTTCCTCTTAACATCGCACAATATAGTATCTACCCACTATTAGTAGATAAAAATCATTAAAAATATGAATCAATTTTTGCTGATTTAAAAATTTATTTGTGAGCCTATTGTTGTGATTCATTTTTACAGGTTGCCATAGAAACGTCAAGAAAACTACTATGATTATGGTTTAAAATAATTGTTTGACAAGAGTTTATAATTATTCTTGACTATCTCTGCAAATGGTTTATACAATGCCATCCTTCTTCCTTTCACACATAAACATGGTTTAAAAGGTAGGTAAAAATATTAATAATTCTGGTTTAAAAGCTAGGTTCACAATGAATTAGGATTGTAATTTTCAGGGAAAATACAATTGTTGCTGTCATGTCTTATGTGATTTTTTGAATATTAAATTATTTTTTTTTAACCGTTTTGCTCAGGATAGGGATTGGCACAGGTGCAATTTGGTAAAGTACAATGTTGTTACATGTCTTTGGAGCATATTTCATGTCGTTATCAGATGACGGTCGAAATTTGCAGTGGGCTCTCATACTATTTGTTTTTTGTGTATAGGTAATACACATTAATGCCGCACAGAGAAAGTATATATGATATTATATCTATATAAATGTACATTGGGCAAAATTCGATGATCAAACTCTTAATATCGTTTTTTTTATTCAAATTTTTTTGAATGAATAATTGTTTTGGTGCGTAATTACACTATTTATACCTAATTATATATACCTAGCTATTTTCGTTTTATAGAGAAGAGAAACTTAAAGAGCTAAAAAGAAATTGTGAATGTCAAAGGGCATATTATCAGTGTCAGAAAGATTTGAAGAAAAATGAACCGACCGGCACAGCGGTGCGGCGTTGAAATCCGTGCATCGTCTAACGTCGTTTCAGTGCGGCAGACTTTGGCACGGTGTTTGTGTGCGTGCGACTAGACGTATGCGTGTAGACTAGCTGCTAACTGCTCATAACTGATTCTATCTCTTTTAGAAACAATTTCGGAAAAATTGAATTTGAAAATGAATAATGATCCACAACAATATATGGGACCACCATTGACGCGGTATTTTCCAGATATTTAGAGGATATCAAGTCTCAAACTTATGTTTCTTATTTCAATTACCATAAACCTATAGTTTCAATGATAAAAATTCCTGAATAACCTACATGTATTGTAAGATAATAAAAATATTTTAAATAATATTACTTCTCATTTATTCAATAAAAGAAAAAAAATTGTTTTCTTATCGGTCACCACGCTCAAAAAGTGTAACTTGAATTAATATCAAAGAAAAAAATACTGTATAAATAAAATAAATAAATAATTATAATTGCAGAAGTTGATAAAAAATGCTATGCAATAGCTTTAGTCCCCGAGTGCCATATGTATTTTTTTATATTTATATGAATCTCTTTATTTAAGAAGGCTTATTAGGTATGTTAAAAACTTGCAATTTTCACCTAACAAAAATACATGTGCATAGACGTCATAACTTCAAAGCACAACATGGTTGTAAATATTAGTGGGAAGGTAAGAGGCAAATTATAGTATTATCTTTAAAATCTTTATTTAACAAATAACAGGCAATTTAAAAATATTGCATAAAATAGTCAACAAACTTCTAGTACAACAAATAAAGATAAAACAAAAAATAAAACCGTTTCTCTTTAATCTTCAATAATAAAATTAATTCCTAACCTAAAGAGTACTTCAGATGATATTTTTTTTATTTAATTATATTTAGCTTTTTTGATTTGCGGAATTTGTGACGTATGCATACAGTCGTTTTCCCCACCACGATTCCAAGTCAAAAGGTTTAAAATCTTGTAGAGAGATACAGGGTTCCTCCTCATAATAACACACTGTTTGTTCACCTGTGAAGAAGATATAATTTGTCAGTACATAATCGCAATCTAGGCCAGTCAGCAGGTGAAAAATTTAACATTAATTCTAACATTTTTTAAACTTCGTGGTAAGATATGAAATTGAAACGAGGCAATTTACTCATAAACATTTGATTGTATCCAACAATTAAGAATTCGCTTGATATTCTGTAAAGTATCTTTGAATTGTGACCACGGTAAGTTTGTTTTAAAATATAGAATAAAGTTTACTTATATTATTTTTCTTTAGTTGAAGTGGTCTTATTCAAAGAAACTGTAAATCCCTCCTACTTTTGCTTCTGCTGTGAGAGAGTCAGAAGGAGAAGAACAGTAGGCCAAAGGCAGTAGTTTCTGCACCATAGCCGTAAGTCATAAGTTGTGAGAAGTTTTCCTAGCTTGAGTTACTTTGCTTAGACGTAAAGCTTGCCTTGTTACCAAGGATTGTCCAAAGCGCAGGCTGTGCTCAATGTTCACAGTGGACGTAACAGATATTTCTTTATGCATCAGAGAGAGATTTAATTGTTCTTTAGTTTAGATATTTGGATTAGTATCTATTAATTGTTCTTTAGTTTAGATATCTATTATACTTTCAAGTTATAGGACATTGTTTAGTTTTAGTTAAGCTAGTTTATGTGTTTCAGAGAATAATTCCTCTGAAACATTGTATTCATTGTATAAAGGGATAATTAAAATAAAGTTTGTTATTTGGAATCATCTTATTTCCCACGTTTAATTTTATTCTAAAGTAACCCGAAGTGAGGGTACTGTTACAAAATGAATCGAAACTAGCCAATTTTGCAACTCGATACAATACAGGTTCGGCAACATTATTAAAATGGCAATAAATTAAAATAATGGATTGTTGGACGATCAAAAAATTAATTAAATAATTAATTGCTGTTAATTAACATTATATGATCTCATTAAGCAACCAAAATATTAAGGGGTGGCACAAAATTGATCGAAAAACATTTGATTGTATTGGAAATTTGATCGAAAATACATTTGATCGAAAATAAATATATCAAATAACATTTGATCGAAAATACATTTTATCAATTAACATTTTATCGAAAAGACAATAGATCTAAAATTCATTAGATCTAAAATCAACATTAAAAATAGTAAAATATAAAAAAAGTCAAACGACACCGTGTAACCCCTCCTAACGGGGAAACTCAACTCATCAGTTATCATCAAATTAGGTACTAATGGCAAATTTTTCGATAATCTCAAACGATAGAGTGGCCTCATTTAACACATTTTATTTATCCTTACAATACTTTTATTAATTTTACAAATTAATATTTTCAGAGTTAAATGATTATTTATCGTCATTGAGATTAAAGCATTGTGATTAATTCTCACAAAATATGTATTTCAGTAAGGTCGAGTTGTCTCCAGATCGGACATTTTAGGTAAATAAGTTTAAGTTTATTTTTTATAAAAAACTTATTTACCTAACCTGTGTCGTCGCGTTTTGCCTCGCAAAAAAATTATACAAAAATAAGAAAAATAAAAAATCTTAACTAATTTACCTAACCTGTGCGGCGTGGGGCTGTCGAGGTTTACTTTACAAAAAAAAATTAACAAAAATGAGAAAAATAAAAACTTAACCAATCTACCGAACCTTTGCGATATGGAGCCATTTAAATTTAACTGATTGCTCTCGCACAGGTTAGGTAAATTGATTAATTCTTTTTAAATTTTTATTTTCATTTCTTGTAAATTTTTTTGCGAAGCAACCAGCCGTGGCTCTAGGCCGCACAGGTTAGGTAAATTCGTTTTCAACATTCACACATTTTCTACAAAAAGTTGCAAATCTACGAGCACATTAAACCATATGAATAAGATCCAGAATAGTTTTGTTTTACAAATGAGATGAGGACTCGAAGTACAATACTGGAGCAGATAAATGGGCGTAATTGGTAAACAGACGAAACTGTGCTGTTATGATTGCAAGAAAATATGAGATAATATGCTGCTCAGTTTGTAGTGACTGCAAATGTACTGTTCAACTACATATGTATATAGGATAGCGAAAAAGTGTGATATTTTCTTTGAAACGAATTATTTTCCATTTTGCAAGTATGTTGTAAATATGTTGCAACCGTTTTGCAACATAAAATTTAAAAAAAATGTAGTAGTTAGCTACTTTTTTGCAGTCTTGCAAATTTGAATAAATATTTTCCCAGGATTACTGAATTTAATATAAAATTTACAGGAATGTTAATTTTATTTTGTGAAAAATTTGCAAAAATTGATTATTATTAATTTTGTCTGTTTGCCGACATCTTGGGCTGTTGCAAAATGAATAGCATACCTAACAATTGCCACCAACGAACAATCAGTAGATGAATTAATTAGTAAATTAAATGTTTTATCTAATGAGTTTACATCATGGTGTTATAGAAATTCTTTAATTGTTAATTCAAACAAAACCGTTTGCCTTCAGTTCTACTCCAGAAATCAAATTACCCAGAATTGTAAAGTAAATGTCAATAATGCAGAAATTATGCTCTCAGATGTTACAAAATTTTTTGGCATACATATTGATAGCAATATGGGTTGAGATAGCCAAATATCTAATGTTTGTAAAAAATTAAACAGCGCATACTATACAATACTAAAATTAAAATCAATATTTACCCAAGAGCAACTGCGACTAGTCAATGTCGACTATGCTTTAGCATATTCTCATATATCATACATTATTTGGGGTGATGCAGTCAATGCATCTAAAGTATTTATCTTACAGAAAAGAATAATCCGCCTTATTTTTAATCTAGAATTAATGCAAACTTGTAAATATAACATCAAAAAATTTAAAATATTAACATTTCCCTGTATTTACATTTATAAACTGTTGCTATATGCTAAACGCAACATACACCAATTTTTACAAAATTCAAATTATCATGAATACTCAACTAGGAATGCAAATTTATTCAGAACACCAAGACATTCAACAGCATTATTTGAGAAATTGCCTGAATTTTTTTTTTGTATACTGTACCTATATTTATTTGTATTTTAATATTTTTTATTCATATATATTATGACTTATCCTATATCATGTAACATGATCCTAAAGGACAAATAAACTATTATTATTATTAACTTTCAAATGCCGTCATTTGTAATCAATATTTACCATTGTTTCAATTTTGCTGAAAACCATTTTTGGACAAATAAAAAAAATCCCTGTAAATTATTAAAAATACATCATGCCATCATCAGATGGACCTAGTTGCAAATTTTCTGCCATTTAAGGCGATTTGAGTGATTACTGATTTTGCAAGCACATTAATATTTTGGTTGATAATGAAATTAAATAATTTTACTTGTTTCGCTGGAGATATAAGTGGTTGCAAATTCCGCTCCAGATCTTAAATATTGAAATAAAAATTATATCAAAATTTGTAGCTATGTTACATTTTTATTGTCTAGCAATCTGTTAATTTAATTTTTTTGCTAATTTATCAATGTTGCTAACTCTGCATGAGTTGAAAATATGGCTAGTATCGATTCATTGCATACTTTACTTTGAAGTTTAGAGGAAGTTTAAAAATGAAATGTTAGAATTAATGTTAAATTTTTCTTTTTGGACTGCTCTTCTACTTACTGACCTAATCAATCAATTAAATAATACAACTCACTATTTTTATTTTAAGAACAAGTTTTGTTTACAATATTAAATAAAGTAAATTTAGTTTACCTTCATTACATTCTGTACTTTCTTGATCAAATTCTGAACATACAGAGTTCCATGCTGAAAAATAGTTAACAAAATTAAGATAGGTACCTAAAATTTGTGATATTTTATAAGTAATAATTGGATGGCATTACACAGAAAGCTACCAACCCTCAATAGTGACAAACTGAGATAATCAGCTCTAGTTTTTGTTCGTTTAAAAAAGCTGTAGGGTGTGGGTTCGCTTTTTATAGGGTATATATAATTAACAGAAGCTTGGTAGGATCTTACACTGTGCAGAACGCCTATTTATTACCCAAATCCGCACCCAACCCAATATCTGGTATATTGTTGGTTGGTAGCTTTCTGTATAACACCATCCAATTATAACTAGAATTGCCTACAATAATGGATTTGATTTAAATCAATTGTAAAACCCATTTAATGATCAATAATGGTCAAGATTGTATGTACCCCACTGTCCCCACTAAACAATTAACATTGAGGGGTTAAACCAACAACATATTGTGCAATATATCACATAAATCCTGCTGGAGCTTGTAGATTGGAGGTTTAGACATGTATTTTTGTTTCAATTTATTGGTGTACAATCCTTTAAATTAATGGCAAAAACTCACAATCATGGATAAAATTTATTATTTCCTCATGCTGTGGTGTGATGGCCTTGTGTTTTGGACTAGTTGGTGAGGATTTTTTGAGAAATACAGGCTTTGGACCACTAAAAATCAATGACAATATGTAATCTCTGGTATTCAAATAAAATGAATTGTGCTTACTTTTTGTAATCATTATCTTCGTTCTCAATAGTTTTATTTTTATTAAAATCCCTCAAATTGTCTATATTTTGTTGTAAACCTAAAAACATTAAATCTTTAAATGTCATGTCAATATCCAGTAAAAGAGTAACTTACCGCGTCTTGTAGTTTTTGCTACAAATTTGCTAGGTCCTTTTATGTTATACATATTTAGATAAATAACTACGAAAAATTTGCTAAAAACAATAACCTAACAACTTAATTTCTAATGAATGAAATCAAAATTGCCAACTCTTACATAATTTCTATGAAAAGTAAAAATGAAAATAAGAAAACCAATAAATACGAAAAAGAAAAAATTGTTGAGAGATATAACTGGATATAAAATTATCAAACAATTATTGGTAAATAGGAATATTTTTTAATCATCAGAAACCATTAAAATAAAAAGATGACGGAACATTAGCCAGCAATTAATTTGTTGGCCACACTGACAAATGTCATTGTCAAAAATAAAAATATTCATAACCTAAAATATTTTGAACGAAAGTGCTTTTTTTATATTGTATTTCTTAAGCGATGATTTAAGATGAGTGCAGCATTAGTTAGAAAAGGTTTACAAATTGTTGATCCCCAATGTGATAATAAAATCGCTAAGAAGAAAAAGAAGTCCGACGTTTTTCAATTAGCTCCCCAAAACCAAAAGTTATTTACTAAGGGGTATAAGAAGGAAGGAAAAGGTAAACAAAATTAAGCGTTTGAAAGTCATAGAGTATATTTTAGTGTTTTTTAAAAAAAAATTTTCAGAAATCAAAGTTAATTTGTTATCTGCTGAGAAGAAACTTTCAGTTACTGAAGCCAGGAAGATACATAAATCAAAAGAACAAATATTAAAAGAAAATCTAAAGAAATTGGAGCTAATAAGGAATGCTGGTAAAGTTGATTTAGATGAAAAACTTGTAAAAAAGGTAAATTACATTATTTTCAATTGCATGTGTTAAAATTCGAAAATAGTTGTTGCATCAATCACTAAAATGGAATAATATACTAGATGTTTTATTTAATAGAGCATTATCAGAAACAAGTTACTGTTTCCACATGTATTTTCACTTTTTACCTACATTTGTTTGTGTTCATTTGAGTAGAAGCTTGTTAATTTTTCTTCCTTTTTTTTAGATAATTGACAGAGCGGTAAGCAGAAGACCTGTAAAGGCAAGTGAAAACCGTAAAGAACAGAAGACTGCATTTACTGAAGAAGATTTTAAGAAGTTTGAAGCAGAATATTTTGATGAATAATGGCAATATCTGATCATACTCAAGGGATTATTCAACTTACATTTGGTTCGATATTTTTGCTCTACATGTTTTTTCATTTGTTAATATGGCCTATTTTACCAGTTGAACATGATCCTCTAGAAGAATATATCCCAACAACAGTGATACTATTAGTGTGTGGTATTTTTGGTTTAGTTTTTATTGGTTCCTTATCAATATTTACAATAATAGTAATGAAAAAATCTACAAAATGCAACAAATGAACATATTTTAAAATTAAAATCTTAATAAGGTCCTCGTCCGAGGCCAGCTCCCCACCAAGGCCTGAAAAAATTAATAATACTATATTAATTAAAATAAATGTTAAACTTGAATTATTACAATAAAAATTGTTTAAAAATATAGTTGGTATTTCTTGAATGTGCTATTATGTGAATCAAAATGTCATCTTTTGATAAACTTACATTTGCCTGTATTGCATTGATCTCTCTGATGTGACAAATGCTCTGCCCCTAGTACCTCTAGATATCCTAGTTGAAGCTAGCATGTCTCTACTGAGTTTATTGTAACCAGTTGGACCAGTTGGTTGGGCTCCACAAGTTTCCAAAGCTACAAAGTCATCTACATGCAAAGAGGGTGGACGAGAAGTATTTGGAGGTCTAGATCTAAAGAGGTCAGGTCTTTGAGGTACATTTCTTGGAAAACCTCTTTGTCTCAAAGGAGGAACTATAAAAAACAATATTCATACAGGTTAATGGTGAGATGATTGATATCCTTGAAAAACTAGGTGACTACAAACTGTGGAACAGAGATGCAAATTATTTGAAAATATAGAATTCCTTTATAATGCACATCTGTTCAGTTCAGTAGAAAACTTAGTTCATTATTTCAAAAAATTAAAGAACATAACTTTAAGAGTTAATGAAAAAACATTGATAAACTGACTTACCAAAAGGTTTCTTTATTTTTATGTCCTCATCTTCCATTTTTTTGATTCTATCATCTATATTTTCAATTCTTGAAATCCTACATAGTCTCTCTATTTCTTTAACAAGATTAAAGTCAGGTCTCAAATTTTGTCTACAAACTTCTATTAAATCACATGACACCTAGAAAAAACATGATTAATGAAATATTTTTTACTATTATAAAACAGCAAAAAAATTTTAGAGAACTAGGTATGATTCATGATTTTCTTAACCACGCATGAAAATAGTATCTGTGTGACATTAATACAACTTTTATTTGTACTATAAACAATGTCGATGTAAGAAAATTCCTACACTTACACCGAAAGTAGTAAAGAATTATATCACAGAAACTGCCGAAGTGCCCAGAAATTCTAAGAATCCCACCAGCCGGCAGCTCAAGTTTCTTTTATCAGCATACATGTGTTAACAATGATTATTTTTTACATTTAGTAGTCTGATGTTAGCTTTCAATTAATAAAGACATAATTATAACTCTGTTTAAATAAAAAAAATATTTTTTTTAAAAAACGATTTTTCAAATCGTGTTATATTTTTGGCGCAGTCAGTAGGATTGTCACGAAGAATCCGACGTGGATAACTTTCGCTATTTTTATAGTTAAGTGACAATTACGAACTTTCAACGTTTCGCACCAATTTCGAACTTTCCATCGCGAGAAAAGTTTTGTGGTACTACCAAAGAACTGTACTGGAGACTTCCTTGGTTAAGACGACAGCCGGACCTTCGATGCAAACGAAAACCGTACTGTAAGTTTTATTTTTCTTATGTCAGACTCCTCTAACATTGATTCCTTATCCTTTAGTGATCACGAATCTGATTTAGAGCTAGATTTTGTAATTGAAAGTTTTAACTCGATTAATATTAACGATAATAATTATCCAACTAATTTTAGTAAATTGACAAATATTTTAAATCAAACAATGACTCCTCCCCCTAACTTTCAAAAGGTTCACGCGGAGACCATACCTGATTTTTATGGCGACGAAAACGAGTTGCAATTTTTCCTAGAAAGTATTGATAGCATAGTTACCCATTTTTATGATAACGTAAATATTGGAAACTATCAGAATGTAATATTTAGAACGATTATAAGTAAATTGCATGGACCCGCTCGCGAAGTAATTAATATTAGTGGAGCCACTAAAATAAAAGAAATTAAGGAAGAGTTGATTATGAATTTTAGTGATCCCGAAATGAAAGTTGCTTATTGTTGGATTTAAATAATTTAAGGCAAGCTCCTAACGAGAGCCCATATGAATTTCATGAAAAGATCAGGAAATTATTAAACACTATTTCAAACTACCTCGTTTTGCATGAACTCAACTTAGATATAAGAAAATTTAAACAGAAATCATATAACGAACAAGCTCTTCAAGTATTTTTAGCTGGGTTAAGAAATCCTTATGGTATCATGGTTCGTACCAAAGATCCCAAAACACTGCTCGAAGCAATTAATTTTATAAAAAAAGAGGATAATATTAAATATTTACAAAATGCGCATTCAAATAACTCTCAAATTTCAGTAAAAAGCCCCAACCACCAACATAGACAGAATAGCTCTAATAAAACTATTCAAAACTATCGCCCAAACAATAACAATCAGTTTGTTAACAGAAATCAAAATTTTAATAATAACCAACAAACAAATTTTAATCAACCTAGCACTAGCTATTATAGAAATAATAACAATAGTAATTATAGAGGTTCATTTCCTACTGGTCCTGTAAACATTCAACCTAGACCAGTAGCTAATCAAAGATTTTTCACAAACCGACAGGTCTTTGGACCTCAACAAAACGTTTGGGAACCAAATCCTAATTTTAATGAAAATAATTCACCTAGGCCTACTCCAATGAGTACGACTTCCCGTCAAATTTCTGGCAATTCCAGAAATCAATTACCCCAAAATCGTAGATGGGTATCTGAAGAATTAAATAATGTCGAACATTGTGATTTGGCAGATAATTCAATCGATTTTGTGAGCAGCAATTGCGAATACGAAATTGTAGACTCTCCTTCTGTCGATAATTACCAAAATTTTCAGGAGCCCAGCCTCCCAAATCCGAAACCATGATAGAATTTTATAATTCACTTGATAAAGGACAATTACCTTATATTGCAATAAATAACCCACCATTAAAACTTTTATTAGACATCGGGGCAACTCGATCATTTTTATCTCCAGAAGCTGTTGATAAATACTTTTCAAAAATTAAAATAAAGGAACCATTTATTATTTCAACTGCTTTTAGCTCCTCCAATCATAACTTTTCAGTAACCATTCCGGCATTCCCAGAATTCCAAACAAAACAGAATATAAAATTTTTTGTATATAAATTTAATTGCATATTTGATGGACTATTAGGAATAGATTTATTAAATTCATTGAATATTCATATTGATTTGCCAAATGCTCAAATAATTTCAAATAATAATATTTCTTTGCCAATTAATTACTTTAATTCCACGTCAATAGAAATAAAACCGAAACTATTGCCTGGAAATTCTGTTTCGCGGATAAAAATCCCCGTTACTATTGAATCCAGAGAAATATTAGTGCCAGATCAAACTATCGGTAATTGTACAATACCGAGTACATTAACATTTTCAATGAACGGTTGGGCAACTGACGAAATTTATAATAATTCGAACGAAGAAATAAATTCTACTGTATTATACCCAATTAAATGTATTTCAGTTGAGAATAATTTTGAAAGCTATAACTTTACTAATGAATCCATTATAGATAATTGCGACAAACTTGAAATTAATGATCTAATTAAGATAAATCACAAAGAAATGTCTATCGGAATTTATAGAAGACATAATGAACTTATAACTAAACAAAATGGTAAAAAATTAGAAAAGACTAATGAAGCCCTTCACAACCCTTTAACGTATGATCCTGTCACCCTCGCGTACCACAAATCTGTAGCACGCAAAAAAGATAGTCTACAATTCGGTTGTCGTCATCTTAAAAAGAAAGAGCGTCCCAAAGTAAAAATAAATAGAATAAAAAAACAAAAAGATCCGAATTCATTTGAAAGTTTTTCCTACACTTTATAAAAATAATTTTAAAAGAATTTTATCTAATCAGAAAATGTATTATTACAGCATTCTCCTCATCATGGCTACGATTATCGCAGCCCAAGAAATTAGAATCACGAGTCTGGAATCCAACCCTGGAATATTACCCTATAAATTAGGATATGCTAAATTACAATCCACATACCATTCTTTTATCCATTATTTTGATTTAGACCCTATCGAAACCGAACTTGTTAAAATAAATAATCAATTCGAAAATATAATTTTAACAATTGAAAATAAAAATTCGGTATTCACATCCGAACTTAAAAATAACATAAATTCAATCTCCTTTGAAATAAAACAATGCAAAGAAAAATTAAATTACCTTCATTCTAACAAGAGACTTAAAAGAGGAATCTTAAACGGTCTAGGTACAATATTTAAAAGTATTTCGGGAAACCTAGACGCCGAAGACGGCAAAAGATACGACGACGCTATTGTCTTACTAAATTCAAATCAGACGTTATTCATGGACAGCCTTTACTTCTACCCGAACTTAAGATAAATAAAGTCAGTCAAAATCATTTCAGAAAAATCGATATTAATGAAATACCCCTCGACAAGATCCACCTATTGCAGAAGGAACAAAATCGAATTCGTCAAATAAGTCTTCAACCCCCTTCAAACAATACCCATCTGTGGTATACGCCACTGTGGACATTGGGTGTTGTTGCCCTCATCATCATGTTTTTCAAGATTAGGAAATCGACGTCCAGAAATCAAAAATTGATAATACCTGCCACCCAACAAGCCACTTTCAATATCAATACCGAAGAAGACGAATAACGACCCACACCCTGTATGGATCTCTCTAGGAAGGGAGGAATTATATCACAGAAACTGCCGAAGTGCCCAGAAATTCTAAGAATCCCACCAGCCGGCAGCTCAAGTTTCTTTTATCAGCATACATGTGTTAACAATTATTATTTTTTACATTTAGTAGTCTGATGTTAGCTTTCAATTAATAAAGACATAATTATAACTCTGTTTAAATAAAAAAATATTTTTTTTAAAAAACGATTTTTCAAATCGTGTTATATTTTTAGGCATACGACGGATTTTTTAGAAAAAATAAAAAAACGACAGCTCCGAACACCCGGGATCTAGTACATGTTCACCCCCCTCCCCTGTACCTAACTACAAATAGCAAACAAAAAACACAATGTACCACTTTTGCAATCAGATGAGTGGGATGAGGGACTATCATTACAGATTAGTTTTTACACTGTTGTAAAACTGCTTTATAAACTCCAAAGAAAAACTATGGTCCTTAGGACCGATTCCACCGTTGTGTTAAACGAAGTTTAAAATGATATTTTTACATTAACAATTTCATTTTAATCTCCGTTTAACACAACGGTGGAATCGGCCCTTAAAGGGGCGTTTGATTTGAAACTCGATCGAGCGAGCGTCGAGGAGACAGAGAAGTGATGACGTCACAATAGAGCATTGAATCAAATCAAATATAACAGAGTAAAAAACATAACCTCGCTTTTTTGTGATTCTTGTTTCTGGTTTTTATGTTAAAATAGTGAGCAAAAAGTAAAGAAAATGGAAAAACTTTTAATAATAAGGGGTAATGGCCCTGAAATGCAACATTTACCACAAATGCCCGCTTCGCTCTCATACTCCATGACTGGTGATTAGATCTGGACAGAAAAAAATGTATTTTCCAAACACACATTTTGTGTTTTTTTATGATGAATAATTTTAGCTATAAGACAAAAGCGGCTAAGTTATTTGTTGACTTCTTGTCTGGTGTTTAATTGTGAGATTCAAATTTGTTTGTAAGTTAATTAAAAAGAGATAGGTAGAGACAAAGACAAATTTCTCCCTCTTCTCGATCTTTTTGCTCTGAGAACATCGAGCTCGCTCTATGTTCTCGCTCCAAAGCGAAACAAACACTTTAGGGATCTCTCGGAGTGTCAATTCAAACACTTTTGAAGCGCTCGGAGATCTCCGATGATCAAATCAAACGCACCATAAAAGGGCAAGAATTTAAACCATTGAAAAGAAGAATTAAATCGGTGACGAACCTTTAGCCACTGCATTTAAACGTCAATTCAAAATAAAGAAGAAATTTATAGGTTATGAAAGAGTAAATAATCCAGTAACATAAAATCGTCAAATTTTAGAAATTATGGAAGTTATCTAATCTAATCAAATTAAGAAACAACATGGAGTTACAGTGTCAAATCCAAAAATATGATTGGGGTAAAAGAGGCTCTGCAAGTAAAGTAGCTACTTTAGTCAAATCAAAAGACAAATATTTTGAAATAGAAGAAAATTCGCCATATGCTGAATTATGGATGGGAACTCACGTAAACGGTCCGTCCATCATAAAACGAACAGGACAATCATTGAGTAATTATATAACTGATAATCCTAAAAGTTTAGGGGAGAAGGTAGCCAAAACTTTTAATAATCAACTACCTTTTTTATTAAAAGTTTTATCTATTAATACAGCTCTCTCGATTCAAGCGCACCCAACTAAAAAACATGCTCAAGAATTACATGCTAAACGACCAGATATATACAAAGACCCCAATCATAAACCTGAGCTTGCCATTGCTTTAACCCCTTTTGAAGCAATGTGTGGATTTCGACCTGTAGAAGAAGTCAAATGGTTTATTACAAATATTTTGGAACTTGAGGAAATTATTGGGTCCTGTAAATCGGAGGAAAATGATGAAGAATTTCTAAAGAAATGTTTTAGGTAATTAACTTTGGCTTTTATATCATAGAATTAATTAAATCTGCTATTCTGAACTTATTCCTATTATTTTATAATATTCATTTAGCTCAAAATTAAGCAGAAAATGAATATGTATACTTAAAATTTATTTCAAATATCTATATAGTTTTACAGTGTGTCACAAAAAGTCTGCACCAAGAAAACAAAAAGTGGTATAAATTGGTAGAAATAATTTCATATAAAAGTTTAAGTCTCCATTTGGTTGAAGAAAAAAAAATAGTTTCCCAAACAAATCCTTATATTAATCCTACGAATTAATAAAAATTATTTTTGAATCCCCAAGGAGAAAATAAATTGATGAAAAATTGAAAAAATTCTGCCCAAGGGGGATTCGAATTCACCTACTCCTGTTCTAAGTAGTAGCTCTTCCAATTAAGCTGTTGCTGACATAGTCAGAGATTTCTACATTGTCAAGATGAATATAAGATTTCGAATCCAACCTCGCATTTCAAAAAATGTTCAATTCTAACTACTGTTCAGTATCTTCTGAGGAAACATGCAATCACATACAGGCACTTCCTCAGGTCATCTGAAATATATTAATTTTGCAATATACATAACAAGGCAAACAATTAACGTGAGAGAATAGGTTTTAAAGTTCTGAAAACTGATCCCCCAATATTACCCCTATGAAATAATTTTTCATTAAATTTGTTTTCTCCTTGGGGGTTTAAAATAATTTTCATTATTTCATAAGGGTAATATTGGGATTTGTTTGGGATTTCCTGCGAATTTACTTTCATATTTTTCGAGCATATAACTCATTAGTTTTCAGAACTTTAAAACTGATTAACATTTTTCAACCTATGCTGCAAGTTTTAACCCCGATTTTCGTAATCAGCGCCCCAAAAAACATGAGATGAATTAGTTTGCAAAACAACAAGTACAGTCGAAAAACACCCCTACTTAGGGGTGTTTTTTTTTGCAATTTTAGGGGTGTTCCATTGCTGCCAGTTTTAACCCTTATTTTAGTAATCAGCGCCCCAAAATACGTAGGGGACAAGTGGTCTCGTCAAGTGCGGCGTTTCTCGACCTTTTACCATTATTTTAAATGGACTATATATCAGCAGTGATAAAATACTGTACATTTTACATGAATAAAAGGAAAACACATTTCAGCACCTCACAGGTAAGGTGTGTTAAGTCACCAAATCTTAATTTGTCAGGAGAGGGATTTTAAAAATCACTCATTGTGTTAACAAAAAATGTAAAGAAATGGTGAATTTACAAAAATTGGGGTCTTTGCAAAAGTCAATTGTTAGGTCAATTTATTTAAATTTTTTTCTTAAGATTTTTTTACTTTGTCCTACAATTTTGACTTTGATGTGACTTATTATCCCCAAATTTGCAATACTTGATTTGCAACTTGCCATCATCTTTTGGCAAAATGAGCGACTAGGGAAAAATGTAACAATACACCTTACCTCTGAGGTGCTGATTTGTCTTTTTCTTTATTCATGTAAAATTACAGTATTTTATCACTGCTGTAATGGTCAAAAAACAATTATTTGCATCTGCTATAAATTTTACTAAAATTGAGTTACCCATTTTTCTTACTAAGGCGACGATATATTTATATTGGATTTATAAAAGTTCGTAATTAAATAAGTATTAAGTCCAAATTTTTTGTCTAGGTTTCATACTGCAATTTCTAATCACTGTAGTTTACAAGAAAATATTTATTTCAGGTTTTAAATTTTATAGACTTTTAAAATACTAAAAGAGAGACATATTAACATTTGTAAATCTTTAATATTCTTAAGAATTACTAAGAAATACACAGATCTTAAAAATAAACAATTCAATTTTATATTTATTGCAGTCGATTTACTTAAATTGTTTTTTTAGATTGATAGTAACTTGTGAAAAAGAACAAGTTAAGAATACAGTTATTGCTTTACAAGCAAGATACAAGAACTTAGATAAACTGAACAGGGCAAAATATTTGGCAGACTTAGTCGATCGTTTGAATGAAGATTTTCCTTATGACAATGGAATTCTAATGATATACCTTTTGAACTACATTAAATTAAACCCTTCAGAATCACTGTTTCTTGGAGCTAACGAGGTACATGCTTATCTCTATGGAGATTGTGTAGAGATAATGGCGTCTTCTGATAATGTGGTAAGAGCAGGATTAACACCAAAATTGGTTGATGTTGAAACTCTTTGCTCTATGCTGATATACAAAGGGGAAAAACCAGAAGACAAGATATTCCAGCCAATCATTGAAGATGATTATACACATTTGTACAAACCATCTGTACCAGATTTTGCAATAGCAGAAATTCAAGTGCCTTGTTCTGTTAAGAATTACAAAACTATTAGGAGAAACAGCGCTAGTATTATTATAGTAATATTAGGACGTGGAAAGAGTATAGATACTGAATTACAACCAGGAACAATTTTGTTCTTGGGGTCGGATGAGGTGTTGCACTTAGTAGAAGTGTTTTCAGAAGGGGAATCAATGCTTATGTACCAAGGATTCGCCAATGTTCCATAATGTAATGTAATATATTGTTTTATTTTTTATATAGTTTTTGATTATCCCTCTTAAATTTACAAATATTAGTCTTCTCAAGAGTATTAATTATCTGCATAGTTTGATGTCAGTTAGACCAGGGATGTTGCGAATATTCGCATCCACATCCGCAAATGCGGAGTTTCCGCATAGATTTGAACATCCGCATCTGCATCCGCATCCGCAATAATCAATACGGATGTTCATCCGGATGCGAATGTAATACAAATGGCGAGTTGCGACACGAAAGAAATTGGGTGGAGCCGGCGAATGACGCGTGCCGTTCGCACGACGCGTTTCCTGAGAATGACTGATCCCACGGAAAAGAATATGAAACAACTAGGACCAGGACCATCAAGTTTCGTCAGAAAGCCAAGCTTAAAAAACGACCTTGCTGCGATGTTAGATTCGTCAAGTGAAGATGAGAGTCAAGAAATACCAGAAAATGGTAGCCCTGAAGCTGTACTTAAAAAGGAATTACTTTCTTACCGCACTAAAAAAAGAGTCAATGTTGATGAAAATCCTCTTAAATGGTGGAGTGTTCATCGAGAGGAATTCAAGATATTATCACCGATAGCACGAAGATTTTTATCTACTCCACCAGGCAGTGTTCCTAGCGAACAATTATTTAGTAGCGCGGGTATAATTTACGAACCTCTGCGTAACCGCCTTGAATCAGAAAAGGTGGCAATATTACTCTTTATTAAGTACAATGTTCCTATTTTTGACTTCACTTACTAATATGAAAATTAGTAATTGAAGTTAAAAAAAATAGGAGCATTATACATAAAATACATACATTACATACATAACATAATACTAATTTTCATTAATAAAGATGTTAATAAATACTTTATCATTGTTTTAATTCTTCATTCGTTTTCGTATTCTATTTTCATATAGGACCTTAAACATCCGCATCCGCGGATGTAAGCCTTTAAAAATCCGCATCCGCTTTCACATCCGCGGATGTGCAAAATCAGCACCCGCAACATCCCTGAGTTAGACTGATATTTCTTAGAAAACTTTTTTATAGAGACTTTTTGTGATATATTTTTAAAATGATACTTTAAATTTTAACATCATATTCATTAACATCCCTCGCACATCTGAAGTTTCATGCATTTAGCAATAATTGCATTAGCAGTTACACAAACATCTTTTAGTTACTTCCTATGACAAACAATTATATTATGTTAATTTAACTCTCAACAATATCGCATACAGGTCAGCACAGACCAAAACAATCCAGGAGGGCTCCATCCTGTGTTCATAGATAGAGACATAGATAGATCGCTTGATACTTACATAACGCTGCTATTCAGTATTTCATTCAATTTTCTTACTTTTCCATGCATGACTATGACATGATTTTTCTGTAGAAGATTTTTTTTTCTATTGTATTATATAGATGAAATAAAAATGAAATCTCTACATAATCCATATATAAATATTAAAAATAGGTAGGGTAGGAGAGCAGGAAATCATGATAATAAATACCTACATAAATAAAAAGGTAGGATTATCGTATTCGGAAAGTCATATTTTGTTCATTAATAAAATTTTATTTTATAGGCGTTAGGTACAACATCTACAATAAATAAAAAAACCTTTCTTGGATATAACAGGAGTGTCACATCTGGTTTGTTATATAGACATCATTTTTGGGAACTTCCCAGTAATGTTGAAAAAACGTAACAAGGTAGCGCTATAATATCATTGGAACGTCTACATTGTTTCATCACAAAAGTAAACGTTTCTATGCTGGGCACAAACGGTTAAGTATTCGTCCCATAGATGAAAACAAGAGGATAAACAAAAGTTACAATATAACAATGTGGAGTTTTCATTAATTAAACGTTTTTACGCATAGTGGACATTCAAACTCTTTCAAAAAACTTAATGCTTTTTTACATATTTCAATGTTAATATGAATTTAAACTCTTTACTTTGTTCAATAATAAGAAGATAATATCATTTTAGTTTATTTTTTCCATATTTTCTGTTACACATTTTTAATAAACGACGAAGCATGAAGCAGAAATTCATATCGACCCTTAGATAAAATCAAGCATGCAAACTAGTAGTAAAATTGATAAATATACTTACATGTTCTAAATCATTTTCAGCTTCATCTGACGGTAGTCCTAACCAATAAGTTGTTGTCAATCTTTCATCACAAGCATCTGAAGAACTAAATACCATACGCTGTGAAAATTGACTCAACAAACTTTCAGGCGCAGGTAGATTAATGTCGATATTTTCTTCATTCTTAATATCAGAAGATGTATCGTCATCTAATAATTTTATTAAAGCCGATAGTCCTTCCAAGAAGCTTTCAAATGTGTTGTTTTCTTCAACCGTTTCCTAATAAAGAAAAATATTGAATCCCAAATGCCCTCAGACAGGATAAATAATAAATAAATACCTTTAAAATTTTCTCTAGCTTCAGCAGGGCATGGCTATCAGCTTCTTCTGTAGCAGGCCATCCAACCAATGTTTTTAATTCGCTCAAAGGCAGTTTAATTTTTCTTAGACTATACAATAAATTTCCTTCAGTATCTTCTTCGGTAGTTACACAAACCCTCAAAAATTCGACCAAAGTGTTCAACGTAGACAAACACTCCGCATTATCTTTCAAAAAATTTCCAGCCAACTTATTTAACAACATAGAAAAATCGTTTTTCTTAAGTAAATATTCCCTGAGATACACAAACCCGTAATCATGTTCTGTTAACAATAACATTGTTCTCACTATTGGCAAATAGGTGACGAAGGAATTTTCTGAGCAGAGGTGTTCTCCTATCATCTGTATGTACCCCAAGAGATGTTCCTTGATAGGCAAAGCATTGGCTAAATACTGATCAGAAGATATACATTTACCATCTCCACCAGTTTGAGTTAAAGTTATCTCAATATCTGAAAAACTTTGTATGATGCTCAAGATACACTCTTGTGCTTGTATATGACTATTAGTAGTAGAATTAATTTTTAATATCTGCCCAAAAGCAGGTATTAAGTTGACATATCTTTCTTCAGTTTTCGAAGTAACTGTGCTATTTGAGTGTATTAAATGCAATGCAGCACATTTAATAGTATTTTGTGTAACTAAACACGCTAAGAAATTTAACAATCTAGCTAAATGGGGATTGCAAGGTGCTAGTTTGGCATTTTCTTTCGGTATCAATGCATCATAAACGTTATCTAAAACTCCTCTTGTAATCATAATGGCTGAATTAGCTGCCAAATCAGCTATTTGAACGCAAATTCTCCTTAACAAATTAAGTAACTGAGGTTGTGTTGATATACATAACTTATTAACCATATCTTGAATATTAGTACTATGTGGGTGCAAGTGAGCAGACCATAATTTTCTAAGACTTATTATCCAAGATATTTCTTCATCAGACAGATCATCTCTAGTTTGTACCGGAAGAGGTAAAGGTAACAGTTCTGAAAATATTAACAAACCAGATACAAAAGTATGAGGTACAGAGGTAATGTATTTAATAACCTCCCCAACCATTTGTGTCCATAAAGTTTTCGTCAAAGAATCTTTTTCATTCACCTGTTCAGATACAGGCTGAGTGTACACTAAAAGAGTGTCTATAATGCTAGCTTTAATTTCTTGGGCTTGCATGTAAGTTGGGGAACTACTAGGGAAGTTATTTAGTAGATTATATGTTTGCAGAAGTATTGGAATAGCAGTGAGATCTCTAAAATTTGTATTTTGACACTGTATCACATAGGACAGCATTTGTTTCAACAATAATATTGAGGGTTTGATGGAGTTTACTAAGATCCAACCTTGAGATGATACTATTATTGAAGAGTGAATACTGGGTTGTTCATAATACTCGCAAATCTTTTGTAACAATTTAGTAATTACCGATGTTCCATCTAAAGAAAATAATTGTAATATAACGTGTTTGTATTTTAATTCTACGTAATGTGATAGATGATTATCTGATAGGCCTTGTGAAGAAAATGGGCATATTCCTAAATGTCCAATTATTCTTAATGAGGTAATAATAGGACCCAAGTTATGTGGAAAATTCTCCATATTTTTAACAATAATATCTACAAATGTAGAAATATTATCATACTTAAGAGTACTAATATTGTCAAATGGCAGCAAATAATACTTCAATTCGGTTAATTTATTACATTCATTTTCTTCAAATAAGTCATGCAGATTAACAAAATGAGACAATATTCTGGAATGCCTTTCTAAGAGAGGTATATTTGGAACTAGAGTAACAGCTATAAATATCAGATCAACGATATATCCAAGAGCCGGAGAATTTTTAACACGCAAAAGCAACACATCCGGTTTGTCCTTGGAAAAAATAAAATCTAGGAACTGTAAAATACACTGCATATTACTTTCTAAACCTAAAGTTTCAGCAACAGCTAATTTACCATAGGCAGGAAAAGTTAAGCAAAACAAAGCATGTAAATTATCAATAACTTCTAGGGCGTCCAGATCATAGTTCACATCCTTCCCCTTATTTAAAAGTAACTCGATATGATACAAAGCTTGCAGTTTAAAGGCGACTTTCAATCCCAAATTATAAGATTTTAAATCTAAATTATCATATTGAATTTCCTCTTCTGTCTTTAAAAGACACTTTAACATAACATTAATAGTTTCTATATTTTCAGAAAGAAATTGTACTCCCTCATGATCATTTAGAAATGTCGAAATTACTTCGTAAATAGGTGCCTTAATTAACGGCAAATTCATGGTGCTTGGATAAGTAAGAAATAAGAGAAAACACTGCAATAAGTTAAACATTTTAAAGTAATCAATGAGAATACTATCATTGTGGTCTCTTAATATTTCAAATTGAGAAGCTACTGGTAAAAATCTTTTAGGTTGTGATAAAACAAACGGTCCTATGCGACAGTAATTCAAAATTTCATTTAAAGACTTTGTAACCAGATTTATTTCCTCTGGGGGTATGTCATATGAAGCATCTCGTAACTTAATAAGAATAGAATTTAATTTGTGCAGTATTTCATAAAGATTCAACTTTTTGACAATAGAGGTGAGTGCGAATTTTACTCTCACTAATGGATTATTCCGAATATAGTTTATTAGAGTTATATAACCTTCAGATTCCATTATTGGTGTATTATCTCCACCATTTTGGATATTATTGTTCCATAAAAATTTTTCTACAGCCAATTTGTGATGTAAATAAGTATCCAATGCCTTGATGATCATCAATTTAATAGATAATGCCATGAATTCTTGTTCATATAAATATAGCAACTGTTTATGAAGATTAAAATCATTTTGCCATAAGAGTGTTACAAACTCATTGCTCGTGCAACAATAATCTGCTAATCTAACACCACATTTTAAGTGCCTTATTTTATAAGTAGGTTGGTTTTGTAAATTAGCTAAGTCATAATTTACAGCTACTATTAACCAATCCACAACAGTTGTTATAATAAAATGTACTTGTTCTGTTAATTCCTTGTCTTCTGAAGACAAATTTTGAATATTCATGGATTTCATATCTATGTATAATTTGACAACATTGCAGAAGGATTTAGGAGATCCTATTATGCTTATAACCTTCTCACATAAGTGAACAAATTCTTCCTTAAGTTCAGTATTTAGATTCACAAAAGTGTTAATATCATATTTTGTAATGCTAGATTTGAAGTAATCATCAGCTATGCCTATTGAAATTTTGAAACCATTTTCGATTTCTACAGTGTTATCTTTAATATAAAATCGTCTTTTCTTGGGATACTTTTGTAGCTCTGTAACACCAGGTGTAAATAGTTTTATTATATCATCAGTATTTGTGTAAGCTGTGTAATCAAATTCCATATCTTGATAGTGATCATTGTCATCTAAGATATCTTCATCACTTAGGATTGGTTCAAATTCTTCTATATCAAGTTGAGGAGGTTCTTCATTTTGTTGTTCCTTGATTGGACTGCCTTTTATTTGATCGTCTGGTAATTTATTATCCAATTCTTCTGTTACTGTTACTGGAATTTCTTCTTTAGGAGCTTCTATAGGTTCTTGAATTTGAGGTGTGTGTGGTCTTTTTGGAGAATGACATGGTGGGGTTCTAGGTCTTTTCCTATCTTCCCTTTCTCTTTCCTCATTTCTGTTATAAGATCTTCTGTAATTATCTTCATGTTTATTATATGATCTATCCCTGTCTCTTTCGTGTGGTCTCTCTCTTTCATTCCAATCATGGTCGGTTCTCTCTAAACGATATTCTGGTAGTTCATGTTCAGGCCAACTAAGATCTGGTTCCCTTTCGATATCACGGTAATCTCGGGATTGTCTGTCTCTGTCTTTGCTCTCTGACCGAGAAAATCGTTTTTCTCGATCTCTACGATCAATTTCTACTCGATTGTGTTCACGTTCTGCAGCAGGTTTCTGTGAAAAACAAAGTTCAGTTTCATAAATAGTATTGCTATTAACGATTTTAAATATTTCGACACTAACAATTTAAATAAGTTATTGCAGTAGGAATAATTAAAAAGTTATCAAGTTTATGTCGCCCCTCCACTCGGCTTGTAAACATTCCATACAAGTTCTAAAGTTTTGACACAATTCCCAATGAAACATCTGTTCTGATGACATTGCTGTTGACCAATGTAGGATGCATTATTCTACTGGTATTGTTTAACCATTAGTGTTCCTAACATGGTGGCAGTATGATCTAATCTTTGGGTATGCTTGAAAAATCTAATCCACTGTTTTTACCCTTAAGGCTGAAGAACAAGAAGTACTAGAGGCTGTTACAATTTAGGCCTAAAAGACTTTCCCAATTCAGTTGGAGTATCCAATTTTATTGGCTGGTGTACATTTAAGAATAGGGTTAATAGGGTGATTCATTTCCGCAAAGTTTTTGTTTTTTTCAGTGCTCAAGCAAAATATTAATCTACATATAGAAAAAAGTTTGAGCTCTTAATATCAATTTTAAGTACTTACTATTTAAATTTAAAGTTTTACCATTTAAAATGCATGAAAACAATTTTTTTTTAAATTTCTAATACTTAGGAGTACCCACCTTTTACAATAATGCAAATGGGTTTGAGGACCTTATGGGGAATTTCATGCTCTTTGAAATTTTTTGTGTAACTCGCACTGGTTCACCAGTAGGAGTCGTCAAAGTAGTTTTAAAAAATTTTTTTTTTTTAAATTTTTTCGAGCAAACCGCCAAAAGTAGGGAGAAAAAGGGCTGACTCATAAAAAAAAATTATCCGACCAATATTTAATGAATTTACAGCCATTTTTATACCTGAAAACATAAGAAATTGATAAATACTAACTCAATGTTATTTAGATTAATTTTTTCTATTGATTACCATTATATTTCACTAAAAACTTTCTTAGAATTAGATTTCTTACTCATAATGAATATAAATTCGAAGAGCGTGAAATTCCCCATAAGGTCCATCAAACCGATTTGCAATATTGTAAAAGGTGGGAAAGCATTAGAAATAAAAAAAAAAAAAAAAAATTACATGCATTTTAAATGGTAAATTTTAAATTTAAATGGTAAGTACTTAAAATTGATATTAGGAGCTCAAACTTGGTGAGAATTTTCCTTTCTATATGTAGATTAATATTTTGCTAGAGCACCGAAAAAAAAAAGAAAATTTTGTAGAAATGAATCACCCTAAGGGTTAACCATTTTAATACTGGCTCTTTAGATTTGAGATTGATTAAAAATTAAGTGTGGTCTATTTTTATATTGGAGTCTCCCCTGCTAAATACCTAGTCTTTCCAACACACATTTTATTCTAAAATAACATTTTATGACCATTCACTGTTAGATTCTTCTTAACAGTTTATAAAGTGGTGATGAGAAATAGTAATAAAACCTACCCAAAACATATATTTATAAAGAAAAAAATATAAACTTATATATAAGAAATACTGTGGTATCAAATAGACTTGCTTGTCTGATGCCATCCATACACTCAACAAAAAAAACTTACCGGAAATTGTAAATCTCTTCCATGATCTCTCTCCCCTTCCCTATTTCTTCCCTTATCCCAATCAGTATCAGGAGTATGGTGATAACTTCGGGGATCTTTAGGGACCTCTGTATAATAATCAAACTCCTGAACATATTGTTCAGGTTGAGTAAACTGTTGATATGTCACAGCCTGTTGAGCAGTATAATCTATAGGGATGGGGGTAATACTAATACTATTATCCTGGGACCATTCAGCATCTATGGGTGAAGCCGAGCAAATTTGTTGTGCATCTGCAATAGTATTTGGTTGATTGGTTAGAGCTGGGTTGACTACAGGTTGAATTATTGGTTCTGTAATATTGTTGGTAAGGGTACCGTATACAGCAAGAGTTATTGTAGTGTACCATCCTAAAATAATAATAAAGTTTTTACTCTGAATGATCTAGTTAGCAATTAAACATATGCATACCTCTTAAAACTAACCCATCTGTAGGTATCTTTCTGATGTTTTCATTAGGTGCACAATCTAAATTAATACATCCATTCTGATCATACTTAAACCCTCCTAATGTTTCAAAGGTACTAGCCCCTGGTTTGCCCAAGTCATTTACAAAAAACTCAATATCGAACTGGCTAGGATTTGTAGCTCCTAATCTCACTCCACCAGGAAAATCCGCTTGAACTCTTGCACCTAGAGGAATAATTCTCACTTCAATGACGTAGACAGGTTTAGGAAATTGCACCAGGTCCAAGTTAATTTCCTAAAAATAGAAATATTTCAATTATTTATATAAACTGAGTGGTATTCATTAAGTAACCTCAGTATTGTCGTGAGCAAAGGTATCAAAAAATAGTAATTCTACTTGATCAGACATGGTATTTCCTTGTTTTATTTACACCATACTTTTATAAATGGTTTTAATACAATATTAATATTTTATTTACTAAAAAAGTATTTTGTATTTTGTTGTCCGATGTGTTGACTGTTGACATCTCAGAGTAGGTTGACTGTTGACATAAAATAAATTGACACTGACAGCAGCTGACAGATATTCATTGCGTTCGGTTTGCCACGTTCCTTTAACTCCTTTAACACTTTTAACTCCAAACGACTCTTTTAGCGTTCGGTTTAGTCCGATTAGTGACAGTTTAACATGTCATTTAAAAGCACCCTAAAATGTGTCCCGCTCCAGCCCCTAACTGACCGAACTCGCCTACTGTCTCTTTTTATAAGATTTCGGCTTATAACTATTGCCTATTCCAGTTAAAGTATATCGAATGGCACCGAAAAAAAAAAAATAATAATAATAGATCTCACGTTCTTTATAAGGTAAAAGGCAAAACAAATCAACCACTAAAGTGGTCCTAGAGAAATACATCTCTTGGAGACCTTAACCACTGTATAACACAGTTCAGTGACGTTAATAGGCATAAGACCTCTAAGGACCAATTCCACCGTTGTGTTAAACGATGTTTAAAATGGGTCCTATGATTGAACGTTTACGTTATCCGTAACGTACATGTTAGGCCAAATTTTAACAGTAACGAGGCAAGTTCGTATGATGAAAAACTATTAAATTAGAAGGTAACAGGCGGAAAATTACAGTAATGTGTTGGAAAAAGTTTTCCATCACACGAACTTGCCTCGTTACTGTTAAAACTCGGCCTAACATGTACGTTACGGATAACGTAAACGTTCAATCATATCATAGGACCCATTGACATTTTTACAATAACAATGTCATTTTAATCTCCGTTTAACACAACGGTAGAATCGGCCCTAAGAACACTTACTCCGATTTTCTCTTACTATACGGAGAATGGTCGCACTGCGCAGCTTTCTGAGTGCCTTTTAAAAGGAGAGAAAACTCCGCCATTTTGAACACTTTTTACGTGTTGTCTATATCTTGGCGCAATAGTTTTAGTGGTTAGTAGTTATGTTATAATATTTACCCAAAGTCAGTCCCCAAAGATATTATTTTCGAACCTACACTTTACAAAACCATTAATAAATAATGAATATCTTGAAAACCTTGCTTTACTTGATGATTTTATGTGAAATCTTTCCATTTGAAAGTAACAGTATATAACTACTTTAATTATGTTCCTATTGTTGCATGTATTCTAAATGCTTTTTATTTTTCAGGTCTCCTAGGGAGAACTTAGCTTGAAGAGTGTTTACAAACCATTAATCCAATTGTTTAGAAATTATTTTTAGCTAAACTCTGTTAATTATGTCTGTTCTCGGCATTTTGAGGAAAATGCTTATTGCTCTTATGGAGAAGGTAGGTATGTTATCAATCATGAAACAATTCTTTGTAGAAGGCAAATACCAAGAAAATTGAAGCATTTACTTCAATAGATAGGAGCAGTATTACAAGTATTAAAAATTTAAAAAAACCGACTTTAAAAACGTGCAGATGCCATCACCACATCTTAACCAAATTTATATGGGACCACCCCTGAGGTACCCCCTTTCTAACAAAAAAAGAATTATTGAAATCGGACACCGTGTTGAAGAATTATCGCTGAACATACATAAAAAAAAATATCGCGACGAATTGATAACCTCCTTTTTTGAAGTCGGTTAAAAATCAAACGAAATAATATAAATAAACATGTAAGTATAATATTGTTTACTTTTTTGGAAAATTTATATATTATAATAATTGTTTTTATTTATTTCAGGTTTACTACCTCTGGCTCATCTACACACCTGAAAGTAGAGAAAATAGCTCCCTCTGCTAAATACCCAGCTAGCACATAACGTTGCCAAGCCTTTCGGCGATGTTGCATTAAAGGAACGTAATAACATTACTGTACAACGTAAATGCAACGTTCATGAGAAGTTGTTGAGGGAAATCAAAACCTTGCAAAACTTCTATTTGTTATTTACCTAGTTAACCTACCGTAAGCATTACAAATCTGAATTCAGAACGTTTAGTTTTATGTCACTTGTCAGTTTTTCTTGTCAATTGTCTTTTTTAATGGTTTATTTTTCGACATCCAGAATTTATTTTATAAATAATTATTATTTATACATTCGAATAGATTTGGTAAGGGTCCTCTATAAAATAGATAACTATTTTCTAAACCATTGTCTTTGTTTCAGATTACAATGCCTGATGTAAATTTATTATTTCATTCATTAAGTATCTTTAGCAGTCGATGCCGATGACACCAAATAAAAAAAACTACAATAAAAACAAAAAATTGCAGATCAATCGTAAACCAGAAGATAAACATTTAACCGAATGTCCGGCAACATTTTACACCAAATACTTATAAAAGGTAATTATACTTTATCGAACTAAAAATACATTTTAAAAATATTATTTTTTAGGTTTCCTTCGACATTCTAGGAATTTTAGAAGCAAAAGTAAATACTACAGAAGTGTAAAGAAGAATATAACTCCTGAAGTTTTATAAAAAGTGAATCTATAGGTACATGATATGTCAGGTATATTAGAATTCAAGCAGTTCATTCTCTTCAACAAGCTAGATTGCCTGGAAATGCAACCATCAGTCAAGTGAAAACCCAGCAGAAAAGTTGAGAGAAATCATAGATGATACTCTCGAGTATAATAGAATATCTTGCTAAAAAACACCAGTTGTTTTTTATAAAATCTACATATTGATGGCTCAATCAAATACTGCCACAACTAAAATACTATTATTTCGAGAAATTTCATTTTGAAATTTTGTAAGTCTCTATTATCATTATTTTGTTTTTGACATACTCTTTATATTTTATTTAAAAGCTTCGATATTTTGCTGTTAAATAAAATGAATACGATTATAAAAGTTAGTTGTTGCATAGTTGTAAAAAATTTGGGTGTTTTTGAAGAAAATAACTCGAATTGATGCAGTTTTAGACACAGTTTGTGGCTACATTTTAAATGATTTATCTTTAAGGATATTTTTGTTTGTGGTGGTATTTAAAGTAAAACCGTAATGATATTTTGCATCCATTGAACCAAAAATGTAATTGCTTTGTTTTTTGACTTGTGGCGGTTTTTGATTGAGCCATCGATATATCTACTTTGGAAGTCAAGCATAAAATTTGTAAAATTCAAACAAATTTCAATACACTAACATTGGTTGTTTTATTTAAAACAAAGTAAGGCATATTTTTTAATTTCTATATAATTTCCTTTAATTATAATAGATAAACAAGTTATCAATTTCTTTTTTATTCAATGTATTGAGAAGTAAAATCTTTTTATATAAAAATATAATTTATGCTCTTCTAATAAATTGTCATATTTAGGTTACATTATAGCACTTTATAAATATCTATGCAAAAAAAGTTAAAAGGCTTGATTTAAAAAAGATATATCTCTGCGTCTTAGGTAAGAAATCAGCGAACTTAGCTATCCTCTAGTAATCTAATATAATAATATGTACCTAGTCATTGTTGTATTCGTTTATTATTTTTCACCAATCTAGCTTTATCATCGTTCACCATTTAAGGTTTTAGTGAACCTTTGCAATATTGGTACCTTATACTATTTAGCTAATTTTGTCCAATCGTTCAGTGCTTTCTAGGTAGCTTCTTCTATCCCACATGTGTACTTGTGTTTGTGATATAAGGTGTGTTCTTTTATTCAATAATTGTTCCGTGATTGATGTAATTTATCTATTCTGCAGTCATTTTATATTTGAACTCTTATATTTTAGGTTAACTTAAATGATTGATTATCCTCACCATTCGTCTATCACATATCCATCGGCTTTTAAAGCCGATGGATGCCTTGGCTCATTGGTGAATTCACCGCTGGAAAAAAGAATGATTGACACATACAATCGTCTTTCCATCACTTAATTTACGAACGGTTTGCTGCAAGCGCTGGATACAGCACTGAATAAAAGAACACACCTACACCTACCTCTACTTTTGTGCTATTGGTACTTGATTTCAAGAACATTTTAATAATAAATTTATATAAATATTTTGTTTTATTTGAAATTTTCATGTCTCGATTGAGATTTTACTATAGCCTCAATTTCAGCCTCTCTGTATTACATTACACAATGTGTGTCCACGGATGGACTTAATTATACTTGTAAAAATATTTATTTTAAATTAAAGAAAAAGTTGTTTTTCATAATTTCTCAATGTGAATCGAATTTATTTAACAAGCAAGAAATTATGAAGAATTACTTTTTTAATTTAAAATAAATATTTTCACAAGTATAGTTAAGCCCATCCGTGGACAGACTGTATAATGCTGTAGATCTAATTCACATTATAACATCAATAGAACGTTTCAGAGCAACTTTCGGGGTAAGTACCGTAAAAGTGCTAGTGTGATGTTTTTCGAACTTCACTTTGTAACTTCTGTGAGATGTGCTATAAAAGTCTTGCCGCTGCGGACATTCGGTAGTTGCAGGGATATAAGGGTTACATTTACAGTACATTGCATGCGAGCTTAAAGAGCCTAAAATTGCAGCTTATTAACGTAGATGGGATGTTTTTGTGCTAGCTGGGTAGTTTATCTGGAACAGTTAGAAAATATTTAATTTTTTTATTTGATAATGCAGTAAACTGTGTAACAATTTCGGATAAATGGAAATTTCCTGAAAAGCAAAAGTACCACTGATCCAGGTACATTGATTTTGTACGTTAGAGATAAACAGGAAACATAAAAGTAACACGTATCTTTTGCAGCTTGCCTGCAAGAGTATATTCCTATGGTAACCTTTTTTAGTTAGAGCTTTTTTTTAATCTCATTCCTTTGTTTTTATTTTATAGTTTCGTACCATCTTTACAGCTGAAAAAATGCAAAATATAATATTAGATTGTTTAGCCTCAAAGATTTTTGTTACATTACAAAAATAAAATGTTTTCATGGGCATGGGACTGGAAAAAAATATAATTTTAAGGTAAAATCATCTGCACAGCTTTAGAAATAATTTAAAACCACTCACCTCTATTTCAAGATGCACTCGCAATTATAACTTTACTTCAAAGAAGTTGCTTGTATATTATTTAAAATAAATAAACGTTTCTACTACAGTTGTTGCCTTCATTTAAAATCTCAAAATACGAAGATGTAGGCTACCAGTTTAACATGTTGGTAAAATGCTAAATTTGGTTCCCCTAATGTATCTTTCTTTTAGTGCTCCGTGGCGTGGTCATATATATTTTTCGTTGGCTTTTAAAGCTTGGCTTCAAACTCCTTTCTTAGATAATGAAAGTATTGAGCCAATGAAGATAAAAGGTTAGATGTGAAACGTAGTACACGTATCCATATTCTCTTGTTGAAGAGCCTCATATACATAATATGTTCGGTGTAAAATATCCAATCGAAATGTTAAAAAAAAAAAAGATATTTTCAAGAAGCTCTAATTTCTCGGCAAACGAACATTAGGTCTGTTCTGGTTCTTCAAAAATATGTTGAAAACTGTTCGAGTACTAGTTGACCAGTGGAAAGTTTAAAAGTTTTACGCGACGAATAATTTGGTATTTAACTGTTCCGCTGGATCTCGGACGGTTTACAGCACATTTTGAAGAAACCATAACAAGCCTTTCAACTCTCACAACACTAGGGCTTTGATGGCATCAAATCATGATGACCATCGTGTAGTGTTTACTAATTTAAGATTTGGCACTCGGTACTATAGCACCAAATAGCACACACATGTAAAAGCGGCGCTATCGAGATGTAAAAAATGCATCGGATGTGGATATTAAAACGCAGCATTGAGTACCACTAACACTAAGGACCGATTCCACCGTTGTGTTAAAGGAAGTTTAAAATGACATTTTTACATTACAATGTCATTTTAATCTCAGTTTAACACAACGGTGGAATCGGCCCTAAACAAAATGCGAAGTCTGGACCTCTGGTCTGGACTAAAAGGACCATTCGAAGTTATGGATAATGCAAAACTTAAAACGAATTTATAGTTAACAATGCGAAAAATAAATAGAATACACCTTATTAGATCGTTGAGTGGATCAAATAAATACGAAATCACGAGAAAATCGGTTTTATGGGATTCAGAAACGTAAACAGAATTGTACCCAGAACAGAAAACGGATACGTATGCATATCCAGATTCATGTTTGATCTGAAGTTAGATCCACATGACAAGTCGTCCATAATAAATCAAAAATGTCAAATTGCAAATGTACTTACCGGTTTAATTAAATTTCATCTTATGCAATATTTATGCATTTAAATAATTTAGCAAAAATGTCAAGACCAGGTCACATACTTATCGGTAAATATCATAGACTCCCTCTATTTCCCAACTATTTTTATTTTTACTAGGTGGTGGAACTGGCTTTATTGGAACAACACTTTGTAAACAACTTAAATCAAAAGGATATGGAATAACAGTAATTTCTCGGATGCCAGGTGTAAACAGGCTATCCTGGGGTGAATTACAAGACAAAGGTCTTCCAAAAGGCACAACAGCTGTAGTCAATTTAGCAGGTCAGAATGTTATGGACTTTAGTAGAAGGTGGACAGCAGGATTTAAACAAAACGTATTTTTTTCACGAGTCAATACTACAAAAACTCTAGCTGGCTTAATAGACAATGCAACTTGTAAACCTGAAGTTTTCGTAACTATATCAGGGGTAGGCATATACAAACCAGATAGTGAAAAAGAATACACAGAGGAGTCTCAAGTCACCCCTTTCGATTTCTTTTCTGATTTATGTAACCAGTGGGAGAAGGCTGCACATTTTGAGAAACCAGATTCTCAGAAACAATGTAGAATAGTTACAATTCGCAGTGGTGTTGTATTAGGACGAGACGGAGGAATGATTAAACAGATGTATCTTCCATTTTATTTAGGTTTAGGAGGACCAGTTGGAACAGGTTGCCAATATATGCCATGGATTCATTTAAATGATCTTACCAATTTAATTATATATTCAATTGAAACTCCAAAAGTTCATGGAGTTCTAAATGGGGTAGCACCAAATCCTTGCACAAATATGGAGTTTACAAAAGTAAGTAATTTTTTTTATTACATTTGGAAAATAATTTATTTTTAAAAATTGCATTGGACTTAGATTTTCCAAAATTTACTGTTTGACTAATTTACTGCTACTTTTTTGCGTGTTGGCAGCCTTGGTCTATTTTAAATTTAATATCAATATATTTGAATTATTTTTAAAATAATTTTGTTCAATGAATCAGTCTATAGATTATTCTATAATAAACAATTGTTATGATAATACAGTGATTCTAATTATTTTTCAGTTAAAATTAGTTTAGACATATTCATTATAATATAATCCTTTAATCTTACATCAGCTAACAAAAAAGCTTTAAATGGTCAAACAACCTTGCCTCAGCCTTAATCTGTTTTCCTGCTGACCACTTTATAGCCAAATAAAGGTTTTTTCTCTCTCTAAATGATATTTAATAAATGTGCCATTTTAATTATATTTATTAAATATGAAGCATGGATTGTGTGGAAACAAATCATCAGCATTCAGTTTTATTACTGTAATGCATAAAACTATTGTAGTTAAACTAATTTGTAAAAAGTAGTTTCTTGGTCCTGTACCTCTTAAAGTATTAATTTGATGAAATATGTAGGGCCAATTTTGTAGCACTTTCTATGCTATTCAATTTTTTAAAGTATGTGGCACATCTATAGTTTCATTTATTAATTTTTGAAATGAAGTTTTGGCAGGTTAACATATTAAACTGACCCTGAATGGAATTACTCTTAATACAAATAATTTTATTTTAGGCTTTTGGCAAAGCTTTAAGTAGGCCAACATTATTCCCTGTACCCAGCTTCGTTCTTAACTGCTTACTAAACAAGGAAAGGGCAGTAATGATTACAGAAGGACAGAAAGTTTTACCTAAAAAAACCTTATCAACAGGATTTAAATATCAATATCCCGATATTGAATCTGCTTGTAGAGAGGTTGTTTCTAAATAAATTTTACCTTTACTTTAAAATGGAAGGATGCTTCATTTTAAGTTGTTAAATATTTTGTTTTTATTTATTATTTTTGAGACTGTTACTTCGAAAGATATTACTTACTAGTATTTTATTAAATAAATTAAAACATGTTTTTTTATTATTATTACAGCATCCTAGTCTTTATTTTCTCTCATATCTTATCAAACTAGATTAATAATGACATTATTTGTTAAATTTTATTTATATTAAAAATATAACAATAATACAAATTATTTGAAAAACAATTATAAACTTAAAATGGTTATACTTTTTTCACACAATAAAAACAGATTACTATTTGAGGCATAAATGCCAAGAACTTCGTCATTTGAAAGATTTATAACTTGTTGTTGGGCAATATTATTGATTCTTCTTCCTGTACCTCTATTTCTTAGTTCACTATTGGATATCATTTTGGTCTGTCTATAGATGAAAAGGTGCCCAGAAGATTCACATATTGCAGCATAGTTCATATTTGGTGGACACACTGTGAATTTCCTGTTTTGTTTAGATGCCTAAAAGTTTTATATTTTCATGTTAATAAGATTTGAGTTTATAATAATGAACAAAAGTGTTCTTAGACAATTTAGGAAAAATAATTATAATTTCCTGTTGAAAGTTAATATCAATTTAAGAATCTGTTGTAATATTGTTTCTAATTTTGATGAGTAGGTGTTAAATTAGATTATAAGGAGTTGGACGTTATTTGTCCTTGTCCACTGCAACCTATGAGTAGGTGTTAACTTGAAGTTTTGGTTTCTCTATAAAATATAGCTTCAAAATAAATAATATAATAAAAAATAAGTGATTTTTAACCAAAAAAGTTTGGTACTCTTCTTCAATGTTAATAAAACTCCTACAAAAATAAGCAAATAATTTGAAGATTTTAGACTTGCAAAATGGATTTTTCTGACAATCTTTAAAAGGATTACAAAAATGGTGAGGTGGCGAAAAAAGTATATCATACGTCTCTAATACTATTTTAAATTAAGGACTGTACAAATATATCGTGGGCTTACTGTGAAAAGTGAGAAAGTCAAATTTTATGTGATTTGAGTTAATATGACCAAGTCATTTGTTAGTCAGAGCTACCAACAAAAAAAGACCAAGTGAAATTCAGTAAGGGACGTGCGGTCCATGGAAGCGTGGGAAGCACCGCTTCCCTACACTTTGAGATTTAAAAATAAATATTTTTCAGTTTACAATGCATAGGAATTAATATTAAATTAGGTACTATATTTTCTCTGAAACATGTAAACTTCGTAAATGTACTAACAATTCATTGGTGTAATGTGTAAACGCACGCACCACCCATGAGAAAATTAATTGTGTAAACGCACACACACCATATACTTCAAGTCCGTCGGCGGAAGCGCGTCTTGAAAAAGCCGGCTCATCTTCCAATTGATTTCGCTTCGTGTTATTGACCCTGCTTTGCCGCGACAGTAATCAGTCTGTTTGGGCACGTGAAATACGGTCGAGCGATTTTTACGTCGCCTTACGCATATTGCAATTCGCACCGCGAATCGACACGTAAGGAAAATTGTAGACTTCAGATAGATTTCGGTTTGTTTTCTTAGTTGTTTTTCTTTTTGTAAAATGGAGGAACTATGCACTGTGCCTGTGAACAATAATAATGTGGTAAGTTGTGTCTGTATTATGTGCTCTTTATTGAAAAAAGGATTTTCAAGTAGAAATTTTGAAGAGAAAACGGACATTATTAATTCTAGTAGACTAAAGGATCCGATCAATTTAGAGACGAAAGTAGAAGTCAGCAAAGAAATTTACCAGGCATTTTCACGTCGGGTTCTATGAAAAGTATGAATGGTTAACCGGCTGCAAAACTTTGAAGAAATTGTTTTGCTGGCTTGCCTACTTTTAATATAGCCGAAAAAATACATTGGAACTCAGTCGGTATTACAGACTTGAATAATTTTCACAAAAGTGTAAAAGACATGTAAATAGCAAATCTCATATAAGTGCTACAATTAAAGAAAAAACATTCGGGACCTATTGCATTGAACATAGTTTGGACAATCATTTCAAAATAAGCAACAAAATTCACAAAGAAAGGGTAAAAAAATAGGGACGTCTTACAACGATTAATAGATGTAACTTGTTTCCTGGGAGAGCATGAACTAAGTTTTAGGGGTCACAATGAAGCAAGTGGATCCGCCAATCGGGGAAATTACATGGACCTTCTAAGTTTTTTAGCAAAATACGATTATACCCCAAAAAATCATTTTGATTCGACGACTTTCCGAGGTACTTCAAACAGAATCCAAAATGATTTAATTAAATGCACTGCCGACGTTGTGATGGATCACATTAAAAGTGAAATTAAAAAAGCACCTTTCGTATCAATTACGCTTGATGAAACCACAGATGTAGCAAACTTAAGTCAATTATCCATTGTTGTGCGATATGTATTGGATGGCATTCCTCAAGAGTGATTCTTAGGATTTTTGGACGTCACTAACGAACAAACTGCAGATGCATTGTTTAAAATAATTGTTTGTGACATTATTTCAAGTTTAGAATGTGGTTTTAAGCTTGTTGCCCAGAGCTACAATGGTGCTGCCGTAATGACTGGCCATTTAGGAGGCCTTCAAGCTAAAGTGAAAGATAAGTTTAAACATGCAATTTTCGTTCAGTGTATAGCACATAGACTTAATTTGTTTTTATCGCGAAGCATAGATAATATTAAAGACTGCAAAGTTTTCTTTTCGACGCTTAGTGGTTTGGCTTCCTTCTTTTCAAAGTCATCGAAAATATCTCGCGCTTTGGACATTCACGTTCAAAAAAGGTTTCCCAAAGTTGCTCCGACGCGATGGAACTACAATGGACGTTTAGTGTAAACAGTGTTTCAATACCGTGGTTCTTTGATACACTTTTTTCAAGACGTTTGGGATAATAAAAAAACATGCTGAAACCGTTACTGCCGCTAAAGGGTATTTTGCATTGACTCAAACAAAACTTTGATTTCAATTTTTTGCTCAACATTTTTGCAGAAATTTTCCTTTTTACTGACATTTTATTCGACATTTTACAAAGTCAAATGACAATGGCTTTTGCATTAAACAAATTGATGATTTTAAAAATAAAATGAATAAAAAACGAAATCAGTTTGAATACTTTTGGAATAAGACTCAAAACATTGGCTTAGAACCTGAAAGAAAGAGAATTAGAATTGATAATGTTGGCGACAGAGAGACCTCCTATCGTCGATTATACGCCGAAATTTTTGATACTTTACAACAAATGAACTCTCGATTTCAAAACTTTAACGAATTAAAATTTGTTGAATTGTGCAATTTTAATATTAGTAATTACGATTCATCAAAATTTCCATCGGAAGCTTTTAATTCACTAAAATTAAATTATGGAATTTTTTTCGATATTCCAGCATTAAAGTCCCAGTTAAGTGTTGTTTATGAAACAACTGAAATTAGTGATAAAAAGACGCCAATCAATGTGTTAAATTCTCTTATAACAACTGGTTCAAATAAGTCCCTTTGTGAAGTCGTCAAGTTGTGCGAATTAGTACTAACCATCCTAGCCACAAGTGCGTCAGTTGAGCAAAGTTTTTCAGCTTTAAAGCGCATTAAAAGTTTTATACGAAATTCAACAAGTGAAAACAGACTCTCTAATTTAGCCCTAATGTCCATTGAAAAACAGCTTGTTAAACAGTTATCAGAAAATCCAAAATTTTACGACGATGTTATAGACAAATTTGCAGCCACTGAGGATAGGCGAATAGATCTTAAGTATAAATAAATGTTAACTGCTGTTTCAACGGTGCGAAAAATGCTGGAAAAAATAAAAAATACTTCAGTTAAATGTTTTTTTTTTACGTTTAAATAAACCAAGGAAGCTTTTCAATGGTAAGTTTTTTTTATAGCTTCTAGTACTAAACTAGGTAATAAAGTAATATTAACACTTCAAAAATCTCAATCTTGAATATCTGTAGTACTGAGGAAAAAAAACCAAGATTTTGACAAAATGGTGAATGCGCCGTGAAAAATTTTCGACTGCGGCGCTGTGCTTACTGGCCTGCTGCATTTTTATACAATCGCTTCACATTCCAAAAATGTTACCGCACGCCACTGAATTCAGTTTATTTAGTACTTTCAGGCAGCATAAATATTTGATCATTTTTTTTTGGTAGATCTGATTTTAACAAGTGACTTAGTCATATTAACAAACCACATAAAATTTGACTTAATCATTTCTCAAAGTAAGCTTATGATATCTAGAATTATTAATACTACAGAATAACTACTATAATTTTGTAATCCTACCTGAACATATCCCAGAGCTAATAAGGTTCCTTCATGCTTAATTAAGAAATTATCTTCAGTAACCTGAGGTTGCCACAAACAAATATCAACATCACGCCTTATTCCGATAGCCGGAGGGGATCCCAAAGTCAAAAAACCTGTTAACAAAACCTGATGTGAACCCAAGTTAATCTTATGAGTAGTACTATTTGTTTGACCACACAACCTCTGAAAAATTACTGTTTTGTCAATTTCAAAATCACATTCTTCAACCTGTTGGCTGTTAAAAGTTGTTCCTGTTTGAGGGATCTCCTAAAAATAATTTCATAAGGAATAGGGTAATTAGTAAAAAATATTTTTGATTCATACTTCATTAGAGCTAGTAAGATGATCTATCCTGTTAACACTATCTGCTATACATGTTTTGATGATATACTCTCCAGTAGTATCATTTTTAATTAATTCTGGCCACATATTGCCCGTTTCTCTTTTATTTAATGAAATTTCTAGTAAATTATGTTCAAAAGTCCATGTAGTCATATCAGGATTAATATTATTATACAAATCACCATTAACTAAAACTTTATCTTCACACTTAATTTCAATCTTTGTGTTCTCAGTTTTAATTATAATTTGTTCTTTTGTTGTGTTTTCGGGAAGTGAAATTTTTATAGATATGTCTTCTATATTTTGGGACCACTTATATGTTTTCGATTCATTCTCAGGGGACACAGATAATGTTGGTACATCAGAATTTAATATAAATGTACTTTCTGTATCACTTACTACATAAATAGCTTGACAATTTCTTTCTAAATAACCATACTGAACATATCCTTTAGTTTTAATTTGCTTTAAAGCAATTTGTCCCCAAATATCTTGAACTTTAGAAAATGTAATCCAATGTAGCAGGGTAAAACATTTATCATTTTTATGTTGTTTTAGACTTAAAGCTAATACATGTAATTCTGGAATATCATTATTTATCTTAAGAACGGCATCTATAATAACAAATGGTTCATCTTGGCCTGCCACTTCATCAGAAAAACATATGGAAAATTCATCATCATCATTCCTAATTCCTGTGTTCACAATAAATAATGTATAAATTCCATCGCCTAATACAGCTAGTGAAGGTGAAACAAACCTTAAAGAAACGTTATAATCGCCTGTTTTTCTCACTCTACTTTGAGTCAATTTTAATAACACTATTGGATCAACTATTTCTTCATTGAACGGATCTATATATAACTTACAAACATTAAACTCAGAGTCTATGAAATAAACTGAGTTTGTTTCATCATATGGATCACCTATGAGATGGTTGTGTAAACCATAGAGATTAGCATGTAGTAGAGAATATTGTTGAGAATTTAGAAGAACTCTATCCACTGTTGTAGTTAGTTCTTTCCATTTTTTTGGAATATCTTGCAACGATAACTTATAACCATCAAAATTTGAATCCAAAAGTACTCTGTTTGGGTTTAATTCAATTAAAATTGGTGGCATATTGCTTACGTATAAACAACTTTGGGTTTGGAAAATAAAACAGGAAAAATAAACATAACCCAAAATGTTTTAAGTTCTCCTCTTCTTTTTTTTAGACTTCTTCATATCTATGACTAATTCAGATAATATTGGTTTTTTGTCTTGTGCTATAGTGGGAAAGCAGTTTAAATGTACATGGCGACGAGTAACTTTTTTAACACGTTAAACGCCACATTGTAGTTTTAAAAATTGTAAAGTTGACATCCTGTACAGCCGGCGCCGCGGGTGGCCATGGAGGAAGGATTATTCAACTGGCTATATTATTTTCATGCCAACTGGACCGCCGGCGTACAAGAGTATGCCACTTGTCAGTGTTGACAGAATCTCTTTTTATTATGTACCAGATTTGTCTAAAAAATGTACCAGATTCCTAAAAAATGTACCAGATTTCATAAAAATATAGTAGATACTATAAATTGTACCAAATGTTTCAAATTGTGATGGTTTGGTCCATTGAAGAGCAAAAAAAGCCTGTATATAGAGATTGAATACAAAAAAGGAAGACCTCAACAATAGAGAGTTTTAGCAAACATCCGATAACCATCCGCTAACGTTACCGATATACCTACTGTACATCTTTGCATGATTATGAAACATGTCATAATCTAAGTTTAACGTAATGTTAGCCACATACTTTGATTTTCTTTTACTATACGGAGAATGGTCGCACTGCGCAGCTTTCTGAGTGCCTTTTAAAAGGAGAGAAAACTCCGCCATTTTGAACCCTTATTACGTGTTGCCTACATCTTGGAGCAATATTTTTAATAAGTGCGTTTTAATCATCCGCTTCTGCTTCGGAATTGTCAGTTTTCTTGTTTTAATCTGACAGGTTAAAACGACTAAACCGACAATTCCGGAAGCAGAAGCGGATGATTAAAACGCACATGATATTTTGCTTGCTGCTGTCAGTGTCAGTGAATATTATTAGGCATTCCAACGACCTGTCCAAATGGCTACCAGTGGGTAATGACAGTTTATATATGGCAACCCTGTTGTCATGTTGTCATTAACAGGGTCAATGCTATATATATAGTTATATAGATTGCTCAAAGCTGGTCGTTTACGAGCGGCCATATTGCCTGGCAAATATTTATTAATTTGAATCGGTTTAGCAAAAATGTGTTTTAAAACCAATTTTTAGCATTTAGATATTTAAAAAAAAATAATTGCTTACATTTTTACTTTAAGGCATAAGCTTATGTTTATTTTGAAAAATATGGATGATCAATCTATGTAACTATCTATTTCATTGACCTTGTCAAATCACCAGGCCTACAGGGTTGCCATAATTTTGCCATATCATAACCCGTCAGAACCCACTGGTAGCCATTCAGTTTGGAATGCCTAATTAGGCATTCCAACAACCTGTCCAAATGGCTACCAGTGGGTAATGACAGTTTAGATATGGCAACCCTGTTGTCATGTTGTCATTAACAGGGTCAATGATACATATATAGTTATATAGATTGCTCAAAGCTGGTCGTTTACGAGCGGCCATATTGCCTGGCAAATATTTATTAATTTGAATCGGTTTAGCAAAAATGTATTTTAAAACCAATTTTTAGCCTTAAATATTTAAAAAAAAATAATTGCTTACATTTTTAGTTCAAGGCATACGCTTATGTTTATTTTGAAAAATATAGATAATCAATCTATGTAACTATCTATTTCATTGACCTTGTCAAATCACCAGGCCCACAGGGTTGCCATAATTTTGCCATATCATAACCCGTCAAAACCCACTGGTAGCCATTCCGTTTGGAATGCCTAAAGGCACAGTTTATTGCTAAAGAATCAGTTAGCTCACTCGGACCAGTTGAAAGTTCCAAAATAACATCCACTCCAGGGATACAAATTCAGGATACGCAGAAGACTGCTGTTTTATTATAGGCGGTTGTCATATATTGTATTATCCGAGTTGCACAGTGTATAAACTGAAACATTGAGATCAAAAGTGCCGACGCAGAATGATCGATCTGATTCTTTAGCTGTAAACTGTGTCACAGGGTTCAAAATGGCCGCGCCCTATGTTGGGCATGTCGGACCTCTCTCTTGCCTCGTATAGTAATCAAATGCTGCGTTTGAGAATCCACATCGGATGCATCTGAGATGTAAAAAATCTTTGATCACGTGGTTCAGTATACGTAAATGTCATGGGACAGGTGTGTCCGATGTGGATAAAAAAACGCTCGAGATGTAAAAAATGCATCCGATGTGGATTCTCAAACGCAGCAAAAGTATGTGAATGTTAGCGGAGATCATACGTTCATTTGCTAAAACCATTAATTGTATTTAGATAACCTAATAGAATAATCCCAATGCAAATTAGGAAAATGAAGAGTATCAGCAAATGGCAGCAAGCTCCGTCGCGTCCAAGTCATGTCTTTGATAATTTTCTCGTCTTCTACCGAACCCCAGTATAATTAATAATACAGTAGCACAGGATAAAGATATTGGCCGCATTCAGCAAAAGCAATCGATTTATGATTTTCTGCTGAATGATATATAAAAGAGGGATTAGTAATCAAATGATGAGTTATCGGCCGCCATTTAAAACATCGAATTTGAAATACGATTAGTTATCACATCGTGATTAGATTTAGAACTCATACCAACTGAAGTGAATGTTTTGTGGTGGGGCTCATAAGTCATAACCTTATTTTATGTTTATTTTGAATTCATTTTTACACTGGATGTGTCATTTTTCACTGAAATGGAGTACTTTGAAGTGATATATGTTTATAAAAATATGAAATATATTGTAGTTGGTAATGAAGTGTTGCACAATGCATTAAAATCAGGCAAATACATTAATTTATAATTATGTAGTTGAGTAATTTATTTGGTGTTTTATTTTAAATTTTGTACCTATGTTTTAGATGACTTTTTTCTAAAGTACATGTCACTTTTATGTCGCCTGTCGAAGTGCCTAAAAAGTTCATTCAGGAGATTCACTAATCGATAAGTTATCGCTAAGTTATCGTTTGATAATCGGTTGCTTCTGCTGAATGCGGCCAATGTTCTTTCTTCTGTGACAGTAGCGACAGCTTGAGTCGGCTCCTTTGATGTCGGAGTGGTAAGATTTTTATTGACAGTTGACGTTTTAGTCGCTTATTTCTACACTGAAAAAAGTAACTTTTAAATATATTGTCCCTTTGTCTTTTTGAATAATATATCACACAATAAATAAAAGATGAAAACTAAGTCTAAATATAGTAAAAATGTGTTAAAATGTGCATTACAACTAATTAGATAATTAAAACAATCAACTACCATTAATCCATTGACAATTCACATATGCCAGTTTGACGTATTTGCCGCTTATTTACGGACATTACAAAAATATGGAACCCTCATAAACCTTGAACTGTCGCTACTGTATTATTACCACTGCGCAGCTTTCTGAGTGCCTTTTAAAAGGAGATAGAAAACTCCGCCATTTTGAACCCTTATTACGTGTTGCCTACATCTTGGCGCAATATTTTTAATAGGTGTGTTTTAATCATCCGCTTCTGCTTCGGAATTGTAGGTTTTCTTGTTTTAATCTGACAGGTTAAAACGACTAAACCGACAATTCCGGAAGCAGAAGCGAATGATTAAAACGCACCTGATATTTTGCTTGCTGCTGTCAGTGTATATTATTTTTGAAGTCACAGTTTATTGCTAAAGAATCAGTTAGCTCCACATACTTTGATTTTCTTTTACTATACGGAGAATGGTCGCACTGCGCAGCTTTCTGAGTGCCTTTTAAAAGGAGATAGAAAACTCCGCCATTTTGAACCCTTATTACACATACTTTGATTTTCTTTTACTATACGGAGAATGGTCGCACTGCGCAGCTTTCTGAGTGCCTTTTAAAAGGAGATAGAAAACTCCGCCATTTTGAACCCTTATTACGTGTTGCCTACATCTTGGCGCAATATTTTTAATAGGTGCGTTTTAATCATCCGCTTCTGCTTTGGAATTATCGGTTTTCTTGTTTTAATCTGACAGGTTAAAACGACTAAACCGACAATTCCGGAAGCAGAAGCGGATGATTAAAACGCACCTGATATTTTGCTTGCTGCTGTCAGTGTCAGTGAATATTATTTTTGAAGTCACAGTTTATTGCTAAAGAATCAGTTAGCTCACTCGGACCAGTTGAAAGTTACAAAATAACATCCACTCTAGGGATACAAATTCAGGATACGCAGAAGACTGCTGTTTTATTATAGGCGGTTGTCATATATTGTATTATCCGAGTTGCACAGTGTATAAACTGAAACATTGAGATCAAAAGTGCCGACGCAGAGTGAGCGATCTGATTCTTTAGCTGTAAACTGTGTCACAGGGTTCAAAATGGCCGCGCCCTATGCTGGGCGTGTCGGACCTCTCTCTTGCCTCGTATAGTAATCAAAGTATGTGCCTTATTACGTGTGGCCTACATCTTGGCGCAATATTTTTAATAGGTGCGTTTTAATCATCCGCTTCTGCTTCGGAATTGTCGGTTTTCTTGTTTTAATTTGACAAGTTAAAACGACTAAACCGACAATTCCGGAAGCAGAAGCGGATGATTAAAACGCACCTGATATTTTGCTTGCGGCTGTCAGTGTCAGTGAATATTATTTTTTGACTCACAGATTATTGCTAAAGAATCAGTTAGCTCACTCGGACCAGTTGAAAGTTTCAAAATAAGATCCACTCAAGAGATACAAATTTAGGATACGCAGAAGACTGCTGTTTTATTATAGGCGATTGTTATATATTGTATTATCCGAGTTGCGCAGTGTATAAACTGGAACATTGAGATCAAAAGTGCCGACGCAGAGTGAGCGATCTGATTCTTTAGCTATAAACTGTTGCATAGGGTTCAAAATGGCCGGGCCCTATGTTGGGCGTGTCGGACCTCTCTCTTGCGCCGTATAGTAAAGAAAATCAAAAAGAAAATCAAAGTATGTGGTTAGCTCACTCGGACCAGTTGAAAGTTCCAAAATAACATCCACTCCAGGGATACAAATTCAGGATACGCAGAAGACTGCTGTTCGACCATTCTCCGTATAGTAAAAGAAAATCAAAGTATGTGATTATT